CTACCCACAATGTCACTCAATATATATCAATATATATACGATACTACTTCAATATATATACGAATGGTTGCGCTGTGAGGGCGTGTGTGTGTGTGTGTGTGTGTGTGTGTGTGTGTGTGTATGGGCGTCTGGTGTGTGGGTGTGTGTGTGTGTGTGTGGGTGTGTGTGTGTGTGTGTGTGTGTGTGTGTGTAGCGTGTGTGCGAGGATGGTTAGGACTTGTACTTTTCTTTTCTTTTTTTTTTTTTTAGAGTATCAATTTTGCTTAAATTTTCGTCCGTGGTATGTAGATAGGTGTATAAATAATAAGCATAAATAAATGTGTTATAAATTAAGTAATACCTATAGTGATATACAAAGTTTAATGTCAGGAGTGTAACATATGCATAAGTATACATATACAAACTCATACGTACACGTAATGAACATATCAATCTATATTCTTACATCTAAGATTTTTTCTGTTTCCGAGTAACTAAGCTTCAGTAACCATTTTTGAATTATATTTTTGCATTCGGTTTTACAAGAGTTGGACAAGGGAATTATTTTGTTTACTTTGTTATATAGCATACCTCCTCGGTATGATAAAAACCTTTGTGCAAATGAGGTATTTACGGTAGTAGGCTCACATACTGCATAGTTTCTTCTAGTCTGAGCTATGTACTTTCTTCTGTCTTCCGACAAGTCAGTATGTTTATGAAGCACAGATAGCATTATATAAAGTTGGCGTACAGTGAGGACCTGTGCTTCGTCGTAAAGCTTAGAAGTTGGAAATAGCCGAGGTTTTGATAGGCTTACTTTCAGTATCATCCTTTGAGCTCTTTCGAGGGTTATCATTTTGGTTTTACAAGCTCCTCCCCAGGTAGTGATGCAGTAGGATAGTATAGACTGCACTAGGGCCTCGTATACCAACCTTACAGTCCGCTTGTCAGCTACGCCGCGTAGTGCTTTAAATATATATGTTAGTTTTCGTATTCTATTGGACAGTGTTTGTATGTGGTTTTCGAAATTTAAATTAGCGTCAACTTCGATTCCCAGGTACCTAATACATTTTGTAGGGGTAATTTTGGTGCATGTACAGTTTGGAGTAGGAGGAGAATTACATTTATGCACATATATATTATTGGTAAGATCGGCTATTTCCCTTCGGTTTTGTATAGAGAACACAATGAATTTGGTCTTATCTTCATTTAAGGTAAGAGAGTGAACTATTAGCCAGTGACAAATCGTGTTAAATCCTTCCTGTGCAAGATTAAAAAGTTCATTCCATGAATCTGCGTAAAAGGTAAGAGCTGTGTCATCTGCATAAGCCGAGATGCGGCAGTTTTTAATGTTAAGTAAGCAGAGCTCATTGATATAGCAGATAAAGAGTGTTGGGCCGAGAATACTACCTTGCGGCACCCCAAATGCAATTGGCAATTCGTCACTAATGTTGTCACCGATTTTCACGCATTGGGTTCTATTATGTAGATAATTGGACAACAATGCCAGTGGGATGCCTCTTATGCCATGAGCCTCCAGTGTCTCCACAAGGCAGGGGACAGAAACAGTGTCAAAAGCCTTTGCAAGGTCGAGAAATATAGTCAAGCATTTCTTTTTATTATCTAGTTTAGATACCAGAAAGTTGACAAGGTCAAGTACAGCATTGTTGGTTGAGCGGCCTAACCTAAACCCATATTGCGAGTTCGAAAGTAGATTGCCGTCTTCTAGGTATTTAATAAGCCGAGTGTTAATAATGCGCTCAAATAGCTTCGATAATGTAGTTAAGATTGCAATAGGTCTATAGTTACTTACACTGCACCTATCACCCGCCTTGTGTATAGGAAGCACTACAGCTCTTTTCAATGCATCCGGAAAAACCCCAGCCTCTAGACAGCGGTTTATCAAATCAGTTAGAACAGGTGTTATTGCATTGGATGTAATTTTGAGACTTTCGGCACTGATCTGATCCCAACCTGGCGCACAATCACTTCTTAGCTGCTGAATTATTCTCTCAACTTCTCCGTCGTCGGTTGGTAGAAGAGTAAAAGATTTTGCAGGGGGCTTAATTACTTTTTTTAAATTGGGAAAGCGAGCGCGCACAATCGTATCCGCTAGACGTTCACCGATACTAGAGAAATATTCATTTGTTTTGCAAACCGCTTCTTTAGGATTGTCAGCGATTGTTAAAAGATGTTGTGGCTGTTGATTTTTGTTACTACTGTTAGTAATTGTTTTAACGGCGGACCAAAGCTTTTTTGCATTATTTTTAGACAATATTAGTTGATCTCTCTCGTACTGTTTTTTCAGTTTTTTTAATAAATTATTGCAATAGTTTCGATATCTTATGTACGATATTTTCAATATTTCATTGGTTTTATCTGATTTTAATTTTTTGTGCATTCTATCCCTTGTGCGTATACAACGTAACATACCAATAGTTATCCAGGGTTTTATTATAAATTTATTTCTAGGAGTTAAGTGTTTTATCGTATTTTTTGCAATTAATTGCTGCATAATAGTAATGAAATTAGTCATTGCAGTATTTAAATTTGTTTCCTGATAAACTTTGGCAAAGTTATATTTGTCACAGTCGAATTTTAGTCGTTCTTTGTCAATTTTACAGATCATTTTTAGCTTTGTAGATTTATTTATAGCAACGTCAGCTTTTAGACTAAATAAGACTGATTCATGATCCGTGGATATTGTTTTGATATATAGGATACCACACAATAGAGCAATACTCTACATTACTGCGTACTAGAGCGCAATATAAGGTTTTTAGAGCTTTTATACATTTGAATTGTCGAGTATTACGATTTATGAATGCTACCATTTTATTACATTTGTTGTTTGTGTTGTCTACATGTTTAAAAAACCTCATTTCAGAGTCAACCGTGATACCCAAATCCTTGATCTCATTGACGATTCTCAAATTCTTGCCATTCATGTTATAAGCGGTATCGAATTTTTGGCGTTTTCGTGAAAACTTTAGGTTAGGAAACGTGGCAACTTTTAGGTTAAATGCTCAAAGTCAAAATGATTGATTTTTATTTCATAGAATTGCTTAAAAGTTCTTGACAACGTGTTTGTTGAGTTAACAAAGTCAATATTTATTTATTATAATAACTATAATATAATAACTATAAACTAAAACCATAAAAGGAGTAAAAAAAAAACCTAGCGCAGCATACTGTAAATAAAAAAGGATTATTACTAGCCATTACTTAGGATCCATTGACAGACAGTTTATAGTTATTATAATAAATAAATAAATACACTTTCTAATACCATTTAGGAATGGCATGCAACACCTAGGAAAAGAAATGAGCGTAATTCCATGGCATGCAATGCATATACAATTTTAGGACCAGAGTAGAGATGGACGATATACATCGATTTATTTAAAACACTCGATGTATAGTAACGATGCATCGTATTAAACCGATGTATTGTTAATACTTCAACATCGAATCATCGAAAAAAAACATCGATGTATATTTTAAATGTCCATCTCTAGACCAGAGCAAGTTTTTTTTAGAGATGGACATTTAAAATATACATCGATGTTTTTTTCGATGTAATGCATCGATCGGTCACATCGATGGTAATACGATGTATTGAGAAATACATCGATGTTTCTTAAACATCGATTATTTTCGCCATGACGTGTTTTAGGTTAGGTTAGACCAAAAAAAAAAAAAAGGCCTTAATAAAAAAAAAAATTTAATAAAAGTAGGAAATATATTTATTCAAATTCAAAATCACACAACCAACACATTTTTCTTTACATATTCCAATATTTTTTGTCAATGCCATGTAAAAACAAAAGTTTACTTAATCTCTTCCCCTTCAGTCGGTTCCTTCGTTCAATTCAGCGAGTATTTATTTAAAGTGAATTCATAATCTAGTATTTTCACATAATAAAAATCAAGTTTAATTTAATTTTCCCGCGAACAAACGAATAATACTAGTCGAACGACCTACAGCGTTCCAACGGGCGAATTAAAAGAACCCCGTTCAATAAACTATAGCTATTTGGCGGCTATACAACACTATACTCATTCATAATTTGCTTGGTCGATGCATCGAATAAAAAACATCGATATATATTCGATGTTGAAGTATTAACAATACATCGGTTTAATACGATGCATCGTTACTATACATCGAGTGTTTTAAATAAATCGATGTATATCGTCCATCTCTAGTTTTTTTTTCTTACCGGCTCGAAAAGACCAAAATTGGATTTTATCTGTCCCGGGGTTGCAGGGGGTTAAATCAAAAATTCATCTCGAAATTATTAATTATAGGAATGCCTGAACTTGCTGGACAATAGTTCATTGACAGAATATTTTACAAGTTTATTAGTTCGGAATAGTATGTAATTCTTGGTTTCATACATACACGCCTCACTTCCTACTACTAGATACAACAACATCAACAACTCAATGTCATTTTTACTTTTATCATTTTATAATACGGAAAAAAAACTAAAGTATATTAAATATGTAGTATAATAATATTCTTAAATAGTGTAGTATATATTCAGATCTATGATCTCTAGGTATTATATGCGCTGTAGCTAATTTAACTGCTAAATTCAATAACTAACGCGGATATAACGCCATCTTTTAACGGAAATATAGACTAAGTACTCACTAAAGCTACTAAAACATCATCGTTGAATTTATGGTAAATAAAAACATACAGTTTATACTTAGTAGTAGTGTAGTTAGTATCCCATTAATTTTGGGCATTAAACATTTTGGTGTTTCCATTTCAAACATAGTGCAATTTCTACATTAGTCGATATAAAATGAAAAATTAACAAAAATCTTTCCATTATGTCAGGCAATTGTTAAATAGAAATGTCAATAATATTGACATTTTCTGTTGAACATCGCAACACTAGTGCTCATATCACAGTGCTTCTCAAACCAATATGGTGGTTATCGTCGTAGTTGTCATTTCCGCGGTGTAGAATTGTTTAATATAAATAAAGCATTGATAAATCACCAAAATGTCGTCTACAGAGCCGTCCCAGAACAAAACATGGGAACTTTCCCTTTATGAACTTCACCGAACATCACAGGAGGTGATAACAGACGCCACTGAAATAGCAGTGTCCCCCCGCAGCTTGCACAGTGAATTGATGTGTCCTATATGTTTAGATATGCTCAAAAAGACCATGACGACAAAAGAATGCCTGCACAGGTTCTGCAATGATTGTATTATAACTGCATTGCGCTCAGGGAACAAGGAATGCCCGACATGCCGAAAGAAATTAGTATCTAAGAGGTCCCTAAGGCCGGATCCTAACTTTGATTTGTTGATATCTAAGATATACCCTAGCAGAGACGAGTATGAGGCTCATCAGGAGCGCGTGTTGGCTAAACTAAGCATGTCACACTCCCAAGCATCATTAGTAAATTCAATTACAGAAGGAATTAAGTTACAATCTCAAAATAGACCTCAGAGGTCAAGAAAGAACCAAGAAGAGAATACTAATACCCCTAATGCAAATGGTATCGCAGAAACGCCGACACAGAACGGTGGTGGTACAGTTCCAGCTCCTAAAGATGGGACCTCTTCTACTGGTAACCCTACACCGTCTGTGCAGTCAACATCTAACCCAGCGTCTGTGAGAAGTACGCCGTCTCCAGTGCCCTCCAATTTGAGTTCAGTGTCAAAAAACACCAGTACCACTAAAAGGGCAAAATCTATTCTGACATCAGAAAGAAGTGAAGAGAGTGAGTCGAGTGATGGCAGGTAATTAGATTATGACTTTTATTTCTATGATAATATTATAATTAGGTCATTTCAGTAGATACTCATATATATGGTGGTTATATACATATAACCACCATATAATGAAACTCGAAGAAAATAATAATCACAGAGTAATACATATATTACACAGGCTGTGGTCTAAGCTTATGACCAACGCCAGTAGGATAAGTACAGTACCTTAAGATATTAAGAAACAATTTTCTTCAATATTTCACATAAATATAAATTTATATTATTGTTAATAATGTTAACTTGTCAATTGGTTGGTTGTGTAATTGATATTAAGTTGAAATCACTTCAAGTGACATTAATAGTTTAAAATGGGTCATAGTTAATGATTTGACCAGTTCTGGGCGTCTATCCTTTAATATCAACCAACAAAATCATAGGAAATTAAAAAAATTGTCCTGAAGGCAGAGAGGGAACAGACAGTAAGTAAAGAGAATTATGACATTAGAGACAAAACATTCGTTGCAAAAGGACAGCATTACAAAGATGCGATGAAAGATGATGATGAATGATGAGAAGGTTATAATTATCATGAACTTTTTCCTAGCTGCCCATTTTAAACATGACATTGTAAGTAAAACTCCGACTTGTAAAAAAATCTGAAAAGATTTACTTGCAGAAATAAATATCATTTCATTTCAAGGGGGTTTAGCTTGTTTCTTTCCAGTCTGATGGGCTTTTTGACACCAACCCTCTGTGAAAATAACTTTTTCACAACAAAAATGTAGCAGATGTAGTCTTTATGGGGAATCAAGTGAGACTGCAGTAGCCAACACTATGTCCATCCTATGGTTGTGATGAGAATATTTGACCAAAAAATAATGTCACACTATATTCTCTCAAGTAACCATTATTATGGGATGTTTTAAAAAAATTGAGACTTTAATCACTGAAAGACCTGACAACAACACCTCAATTGCCATATGAAAGGGCTTTGAAGATTGGAGGGAGGATTGTGCATTACAATGTACATTTTTTTAAGGGGAATTGAATGGAAATTTAATAATAAAATAAATAATTTCAGATTTATTGAAAAATTTGCAGTCATTTTTGATCAAAATAGTATATTGTTGAAATAATGGAAAATAGTGCACATTGCTATACTTATAAGAGCTAAGCTAAGCTGTAGAATTCAAAGTACCATGAAACATGCATAGACCAATAAGTAATATACACTATCCATAAGAAAAAAACTGTTCTCATTTCAGAACAGAAGGAGAAAATTCAATGGACACAGAAGGTGAAGGAGAGCCATTAAATCCTAACGAGATAGAGCTAGTGTTTAAACCTCATCCAACAGAGATGACCGGTGACAACCATCTGATGAGAGCACTTCGAGATAGCTCTGTCAGATACTTGAAAACTACTGCTAATGCGTCTGGTAACTATTATGACCACAACAGAAATCCTTATTGGCAAAAACAACCACCTACCCATACCTTGCACTTTATTCAGTACTGTTTTGCCCTTGTCTCAATTAGATCTCAAGATTTTGACAATCAGTTGAGATAAACCTCAGCAATAAGATTTTTTTGAATCGAAGGGATCCTATATCTAAGTACCATTTTCTAGATTGTTCCTCAACCATATATTCTCAGCTTGTATAATAATAGTTCTAGATAATCTTACTCTGACTTAGCAGTCTTTGCTATCAACAGTCTCATGTCTTCATTAGTCTTAAATATTTTTAAACAAAAGTGGAACCTTATATTCTTAATAGGTTAATTTATATTCTGTACTGTTAACTTAATTCTTATAGTGTATTCCAATCTTTTACTTCCAGTGGACCACTTAAGCAAGTACTTAGCTATGAGATTAACACTAGACCTCGATGCTGAGTTGCCCGAAGCGTACCGACTCCTTAACTTTTGCATTTACGTCGCCCCAGCGCCCGGTCAGTTTGTACCACTGGCTGGCTCACAGACACTACGCCAGATCAATGATAAGTTCTGGAAGGTAATTATGATAAACTTGTATCATAAAAATAGTGATGGTAAATAATTTGATATGGGATAGTAGATTTTTACATTCTTCTTGAATGCTTCTGTCTTTATTCAGTATTAATATACCCTTAGAAACAGAGAAGTCCTCATGATTACAAGTGGAAATGCTAGGAATAACCAGTCCTAAATATGACAATAGATTGTCACTATAAAAACACTTGATGCTGAAGTCAACACAGTGTCAAATGTAATGAGACTTTCAGGAATTTAACAATAGTTTTCATTATAACTTAACAAATCTCAGTGCGAGTTTATTTTACTTCAAATCGATCGTCACGGTGACTGCGTTCGGTGCTACGATTGGCCTGCACTGAAATCTCCACCAATCGCAACGCTGAATGCACGCGAGAGCGAGTCGATGTGAAATAAACTTGCACTCCACTCTCTGGTGTCTGGACCAGGTAGAGCATGTACTATGAAAATTAAACTACTGTTAAAATACATTTACATTTCTGAAAACATTATATTTTGAATACTGTGATTTATTTAAGTTTGTTTTAAACTTATTAAGGTAATTTTTTACTCACAAACCAACTTTTGCAAATAGTTATTGAAAAGCAAACAACCTACTAGTTTATTTTAACTTAAAATTAGCTCTGAAGGACAATTCTCGTACTAAGAATTCATTTTAAATTCAGTTCTGGTCAACTCTCAATGTCACAAATGTCATAATAGGTATTTTCATAGTAAAGTGTTACTAAGATAAGCAGAATACCGATTCAACTTGCAGTCACAATACAATATAATAAAATTACAGTCAATGTTGTATGTTTGTTACTGTACTACAAAAATACCTTTTATGAGATTTGTAAGATTGAATAGATCAGAACTTTTATTACAAGAATTACCCTTCTAATGGTGCAAAGAGATTGAGGTTTTTACCAAACCAATTCCAATAATGTAGGTCAGTTAAAGATGACATCTGAAAAGCACCTATGAATCTCTGAACTCTGACTACTTTTTTGAGGTAGTTTAGGGAGAGACCCAGACTTATTTTTATTATGAATTTTAGTTCTGACTGGTGAAAGTCTACATTAATTTAAAGTTCCCAATGCTAATGATCCTTAAAAACCTGCATTGATAATAGAAAACGAATAAAATAATATTATGCTTTTCATTCCAGGTTAACAAACCTCTGGAAATGTATTACTCGTGGAAGAAAACTTGAGCTAAGTGCTATTTATATTTAACTAGAGTGGTAAAATGCAGTGATAAAAGTGTACAGATTTTTGTTGATTTAATGGTGATCATGCACTAGATTTATTAAAACCAGACCACTATGTACTAGGTTAGCTCTGTTCATGATTACATGTATGATTACGTAATGTATGATTACGTAACATACAGTAGTGTGTTCATTTATTGCTGTCCCAAGTTACTAGGCTACGGAGGAGATGTCTAGCTGCTTCCATATCATCCACTCAACAGCTTGGAGAACAGGAATTACCTTAATCTTATATATTGTGGACCGTCTTCAGAGTGATTGTTCCACTGTGACCCCAACAACCAAATTGTTAAGGTTATCTGACTGTCTTTGAACTACGTAACCAAAGGTCTTTTTTTTCTGGTGTATTGGAATTATTTCGATTCATTCCAGTCAGTTGGCAACAGAAGTTCCAACAGATCAACGATTTCCATGTTCTACGTCCATCACTCTCCTTGTCATTCTAATATTTTATTTACAACCATAAACATATCTTAGCCTATCTTATTATACACAGTTAGTATACATATGAAAACATATTGAATTACTTTAGTATTGATAAATTTAGGATGAATGACGAAGCGGTCTAATGGGGTGTTTGTCTAGAGCCCTGTTGAAATTTAATACGCCCCTAATTCAGACATAGTATTAGCATGATATAATGGTTATATATTAGGGGTTAAAGTATGAAATGGCCGATTTGTACAGAAAAATTTAAACTTGTTTTGTTATTTATTGAATCACAATATTTACCTTCAGTATGTGCACATTGTTGCCATCTAAACTGAAGTTCATTTATGCCTTTACCATAGAACTCTGGGGATCTAGATTCGACAAACTGTGTGAATGCATACTGCCTCCTGGGAAGAATTTTTCGTATAGAAAAAAATGGCAGTCCATTTTAGCAAGGTCTGGCGAGTACGGAGAATGACGTATGGTTTCTAACTGCAGACTCTGTAGGGTTACAGCGGTTTCTCGTGCAGTGTGAGTGTCTTGCGTTATCATGAACCAATAATGGTAAAGATCGATTCAGAAGTCAGGGTTGTTTCACAGCCAGTTTCGCCATCATTGTTCGAAGTTCGGCACAGTAAACATCTGCTGTTATTGCCTGACCAGACCTGAGAAAGCTATAGTGAATCACGCCTCGAAGAGACCACCAAACACCTTTTCATTGGTAAGCTTTCCTTTAGGGCACTATTGGGGCGTTTGACCTGGGGTCAGCCATTTCAGTTTTTGCTTACGGTTATCGCAAACAATCCACTTTTCGTCAAATGTCACAGTTTGATCCAATATTCTTTCATTTCTGTACCGATTCAACAAGGCAACACATGATTAACACATTTCTTTCCGCAGATCAGTCAAAACATGAGACACCCTTTTTCCATATTTTTTTATCTTATTGATTTGATGCAAATGAGGTAGGGTAACGTTAAACCACGCCGCTAATTCCTGGGTAGTTTAACTCGAATCGGCTTCCACCATCTCCTTTAATTCAGTGTTATTCACCTGTGTGAGCGGTGTTCCACTTGGTTCGTTTCAAGTCGAAGTTTCCATTACGAAAGCGTTTGAACCAATAACGCACGGTGCGTTCATCAGCAGTCTTCTTACCAAACGCAGCGTTGATATTGCGAGCCGTTTCTGCCGCGTTAATGCCACGTCGGAACTCGTATTAAAAAATGACTCAGATTTTCGAAGTATAAATCTTTCACTTCTAAGCTGAATAAAAAGAAAACAATTGAGAGTCAAAAATCGAATGTTGCACATTTTTTAAAAGAAGACCCTCATAGGTATCATGTGAAAAAAAAAACTAAAATCTCACACCATGAAGGTTTTTTTGTCAATTCAAAGTATCTATTACTATACAACGGCAATTTCATACTTTAACCCCTATTATTACTCAAAATTTTAATTGGTGATGGATTAAGTAGGAAGTAGAAAAACATCTTATAACAAGAAAACCATATACCTTATTAAATAAGGGTAACATTGTACATACTTGTCACCTGAACTGATCAATATACACAGACCTTTATCGGAGACTACCATGTCCAAAGTGGATGTTAACAGAGTATATAGTGACGTATAGTGCATGATTGCCATTAACTTTAACATGGTTTTAACATCGAGACATGGACTCCAATGTGATAATGATAAGATATCAATGGAATTTATTTCGAAAATATAAAATTTTATTATAAGTTATGATCTAGTTCTAAGTACTCTATTTTATTTTCTGTATGAATGAAATGTAAGAATATTTTTTTAATGTCACCGTGTAAGGATGTATCTCGTTATATTCTAAAAGATTTTTTGTCGATAGTATCTAAGTTTTAATTAGAGAAGTTATTGTTGTATGTTCTATAGCAATAACATAGATATTTTTACACTAACTTTTGAAGTTATGATACATAACAATATGGGACGCGAAATAAATAATGGTGACGTCACAATAAAGTTGCACGGGCTATGTTCACACACTGTTTAATACTGTTAGTTCCCGATTAAAAAGCTATGTTTTATTATGTGTTAAATGTATTATATTGAATTATTTATTAGTAAAAAATGACCTCTTAAATAAAATTTAAGGATGATTTTGTGATTGCTTTTATATTTTAGAGGAGGTTACTGGCGAAAATAATGAATTGCATATATATATAAAACCCATACATATATAGTAGGCTAAAACCTCCTTTCTAAGGCTCTCCTTAACTCTCTAACACTTAGGCCTCTGCCTATGTCCACCAGTGGACTATTAAAGGCTATTAATGTGATGATATAAAACTTAACAAAAAAATCTCTTGCTCGACCGACGACTTATTAAGTCATTTTCTATATGCCTTGGTTTTTAGCGCCTCAAAGTTTTAGCAATGATTTTTATCAGTTTATTATTTTTTGCATAAATAATTGATCACCTGTGTTAATACTCGGGAAATAGGAATTATAAGATTACATATTGAAAAATAACAAAAGAAGAATGAAATTTTAGAATTAAGGCAGTCGTGATACCATTTTGTCGAGTGTGTAAATGTGAGTAGGTAATATCGACAAAAATTCAGAGTAGGATTTTATTCGTAACAATCAAATTAAATCTATAATCTCAATGAATTTTTTCTGTTTTTTTTTTTATTATTTATTTATGTACATAAGCATTTCCAAACGTAGGAGCCATATTTGTTTATTAATAAAAATAGCAGCTGTATGATGCATATGTAATAATTAAATATGTAATAATTTCAAACCTATAATGTTTTTAAACTTCTCAATTTGAATGGATTTTAATGTCAATGTACATAATGTATGTTTCATTAAATGATGGATAATAATTACAAACTTGACATTTCATTTTTATATAAACCAATTCCTACTAATATTAAGTTAAGTAATAAATAGAAAGCAAACCGTATGACATAAGTGATAACCCTAATCATTTGTGTAAAATATCTTTAAGTCGGTATATAAAAGTTATAAAACTAAGACAGGTACCTACGGAATATCATTATTTTGGTATAATTTTTGACAATATGGGACCCGTCGCTTACACAAGGAAGAGTCGAGGCGCGGACGTACTACCAGGGCCTCAAATCTGCTATTGCATGTCAACTTACAAGCTACTGTCATTCCATTGACACGCTATTGAGATGCCATTGACATCGGTCAAAATGTCGGTATTCTACTAACAAAAATTAACAGTGTCAATAAACTGTCGATGTAGTGACAATGCCTCATCCATGGTGATATGAAAAACATTGCCATATCTGGCAAAACTAAATATATCAATTCCTTTTAAATTTAAAATGTACCGTTTACTAAACTATTACAAAGACATCGACGACATTTGTGTCAGTAGCAGCTCAGTGACAAGTCATCGGGGGAGGCCATTGTTCTTCCACAGTTAGTGGAATAGGAAAAGTGCAAACCTATTCCGACGACATTCCATCGACAGTCTATTGATACCATATTAAAATAGCAGAATTGCCATTTTTGTTGGCCTGTGCGCCGCTTCGAGGTTTTCTTAAAGTATAAATACTTAATACTGCTTTTCGGTCTCGAACCGTTGCCATTTTTTCATTTCTTTCAGTGTGTAACTGCGTTTAGAAGTAAAATTAAGGACAATTTTGAAAGCAATAATTGATACAAGAACGTAATCATCTTCTGATGACGACATATTGAAGGTCATATATCATATCATGTTTCATATTAAAGACATACGAACATCGATTGACATTAAAACATTGAAAATGTTATGACAAGGGATTAAATATAAAGATAGTCTAAAATTACAATGGGTCTACCTGTTCTAATCATGACTGCACATTAATTATTGTATTCGAACACTAAATTTAATAAATGATCAAAAATCTCAACGAGCATACTAATGCACTATTACTTTTGACTATGGTTAGGTTTTGATTATTTATATTTAAACCACCTGAAAAGTAGGCGCCCCGAGAAGTGGAACACCGGCACCTATTTGAAATATACTCATACTAGGCCCTGAGTATTACTAGAGAAATTGAAACTAATAACGCAGCTTGGTTTTGGAACAATGTGAAAATGTACGAGTTAAGAAACGTGTTATCTACTATTCATCAACAGCCTTTAATAGTCCACTGCTGGACATAAGCCTCTCCTTAGAAAGGAGGTTTACTATACCAGTATAAATACTTAATACTGCTTTTCGGTCTCGAACCGTTGCCATTTTTTCATTTCTTTCAGTGTGTAACTGCGTTTAGAAGTAAAATTAAGGACAATTTTGAAAGCAATAATTGATACAAGAACGTCATCATCTTCTGATGACGACATATTGAAGGTCATATATCATATCATGTTTCATATTAAAGACATACGAACATCGATTGACATTAAAACATTGAAAATGTTATGACAAGGGATTAAATATAAAGATAGTCTAAAATTACAATGGGTCTACCTGTTCTAATCATGACTGCACATTAATTATTGTATTCGAACACTAAATTTAATAAATGATCAAAAATCTCAACGAGCATACTAATGCACTATTACTTTTGACTATGGTTAGGTTTTGATTATTTATATTTAAACCACCTGAAAAGTAGGCGCCCCGAGAAGTGGAACACCGGCACCTATTTGAAATATACTCATACTAGGCCCTGAGTATTACTAGAGAAATTGAAACTAATAACGCAGCTTGGTTTTGGAACAATGTGAAAATGTACGAGTTAAGAAACGTGTTATCTACTATTCATCAACAGCCTTTAATAGTCCACTGCTGGACATAAGCCTCTCCTTAGAAAGGAGGTTTACTATACCACGCTGGCCAGACGGGTTGGTAAAGGGTTTGTGTCAAGTTTTCCTTCTCTCTGCAGTGCTGTTGTTCTGCGTAGTTTTCGCCCTTAGTCGGCTCTTACGACACCCACGGGATGAATAGGATTCGGAGATGAGGAGGATTCACACACATGTAAACCTGATTAGCTTAGGTTATTATTTATAATCTAAGCTGATCGGGTGTTTCGTCTATGTCAAACTAGGCAGAACTTATACTATCGTAACCAGGCGGCTGTTAAAGATACTTATATGTTTCTGGATTTATGCATATCATAGATAAAATTACACCCAAACATGAAACAAACATTCGTGCCACAATTATTTGTCCTGAATGTTAATCGAACCCACGACCTGTGTCATGTGTACGCACGACGAGAGAAGAGAATTACTAACCCCCTAAATCAACAGGCTCACCGATTATTATTATTATCCTTTGCTTACTGGTAGGCAGTTAATTTTAGAACAAAATATTATTCAGTTTGTATTAAAGCGCTATCATATAGGCATGTACAATGAAACAACAATAGATGGGCAATTTTGTAATAAATATATAATTTATTTTCCTTGCCACAAACATAAGTACAACAACTTGTGGCTTTATGTATATACATTGTGAGGTCAAACTTTAAATAAGACGTCGTCTTATTATTACACTGGATTTCTTAATCAAACAGCTCTGTTTATGCTCACACAAACATAATTACGTACGATATAATGTATCTACATACCTAATTAGTTGTCATGTGAAGTTGGATTTATTTTATAGATATATATAGCAATATAATATATTGTTACCTATCTAGCTCATTCAAGCACAGCGTGCAGTGAGTATGGAATAAAATTAAGTTTGGTTCAAAAAAAATTAGCACTAAAGTTAGCCTTCAACCAAAATAACGCTCAACAAAATGGACGGATAAGAAAACAGGTACCTATTCATATCCTAAGGTTGAATATAACAGGTTTGAAGACATAAAATTTGTTTTTTTTTCTCTTCAAGCTCCAGCACATAGAAGCAACATACATCTGTGTTGAATAAAATTCACCACACACATAGATTGTGAGCTATAGGTTCTCTATCAGACATCAAGACTTATACATGTTTTTCTTCTGCGTTTATCAATAAATACTTACGCCGTGTTCATTGAACTAATATTACTAGAGTACCTACGTAGTTCAGTATAACTTAATGGCCGTATTCGAGGTTCTTATAACCAAACGGCACGTTTTGTTTTTCAAACTTATTTGCAGTAAAGAGTGGTTCATAGATTGTAGTTTCTAATAAGGCTGTTGAAGGCAATTTAGAAAATTAGTATGTTTACCAGACATTATTAACGTTCTCGCTGAAAAAATAACCTATTATAAGTTTTTAGGTAAATATTAATACCTACTCTAATCTCAATATGATATTGCCTCCAAAAACTATTGTTAATATCATTACAATCGATTACAATTCGCAACACTTACAATGCAGCTGCTGCAGCTGCAGACTTGGCGCGAAATTTCGAATCTAAACTATTTTATTATAAAGCACTGCGTGCTCTGTGCGACTTATTTAGCATAATGTCTTCTAAAGGCGCTATATTCTCTTTTGAGTGCTTTCGTTGCTTCTACCTTTAATAACTTCAAAGCTCCAATAATCTCTTCTTTGTTTTCGGAGTCTCGCGCAATAGTGAGCCGTTCCATCGTGGCAAAATCTATGTCGTCAATCCTGTCTGCCTCGTCTATCAGACGGTCCACGTCTCTAAGGTAACTTCTATAAGATACATTTTCAGCATTTTCTGTATATCCAAGCAATCTTTCGTTGTGTTCCCAGAAATCCAGGGCGCGACGTCCAGCTTTTAACTTCGATGTGTACATGAAGTTTCTAAAAAACCTTCTCCCTTTTTCATCGTTGAGAACATTTTCTATAGTATCCGTAAAACGATCTAAATCAGATTTAGTAATAGTCTCGCTGCCGTCACAGCCGCAAGCGGCAAAACAATTATCCATCTTTGCAACATTGGTGAGGCACCTTGAATATTATCATTATTTGTCACGAATATCGATCTTACGCACATTCACTTTACGTACCATTTTATAAAGCGGTCGCGATACAACTTCAAACTGATTTATTTTTAATAATAATACAGTGGCACACTTCTGACTTTGTTCACTGAATTCACGCTCTTCACGTGCTCTTCACTGAATTTGTTATTACTGGTGAATCACCTGCAGTTATCACGAAGTGAGGTTAACTACAAAAATAGGTCTTATGCGTTGAGCCACGAACTGACTGTTGCCGTGTACGGCGTAAATAAACTGAGATCGTGAGCGGTTCGCATTTCACGAAATGTCACGAAGTTCACGATGACGTTTTGAAGAATTTAGATAACACTGCGCATGCTCAACTTTTAGGACTTTTCAGAAGTTACCGCCTTAATATCACAATTTAATAAAATACACATCATAGAAAACTAATCCGTACACAGGTCTCACACAGGTGTGAATGTGATTTGTATGAATAAGCGCAAGGCAGTTACATCACGTAAGGTAAAAAAATTAGCATGACCTCGGCCGATGACTGTCGTTGTTCATTCATGGGAAATAATATCAACGAGATGGAGCGAAAACAATAGGTCTTGGGCTCATTGCCACTTCCTATTTTATAATGAGACCGGTTCTTTTACTATTAAGTATGTCATGTTAGTTTTATTTGAATGTTTTTTTGAAAATAAAACAAAATTAAAGATTGCGTGTGCTTTGATGACTAGGGATGCAGGATTTAGTGGCTAAGGCAGTCGATACTCATAGAAAAAATACCTAAACAATCCATGGTATGTCTACCATGGAATGTTTGCTGTCGCGCAGGCTCGTCTGTATCAAAACTCAAGCAAGCTGCTTCTTCGTTCGTGGCTTTAATCGATTGTTTGTAGTCGGTACAATAATGTACCGTAGGTAAGTATATTAGATTTTCTAATGAGATTCTCGAATAATTTTTATAGGTACTTAGCTTAATTAATTATTTATACATTTTGCGTTTGAAAATATGGTGGAAAAATTAATTTATTATACGTACCTAGTCTATTCAACTTTTTGGTCTTATACTTAGTTACATATACCATCATTAGGTATGCCAGAAATATTACTACATAGTTACTATTTTTCATTAGGTATCATGCTAATTAATCACTAAGGTTGTGTTGACCCTAGGTTCGAGCACATTCTAGTTATGAACAGAGAGCGTTATAAAAAAAATAGGTATCAGTAAGACTTTAGTTCCTATAGTATTATTCAGAATATCCTTGAATCTGTTTTGAATGCTGATAAAACATAACAATCCACTAAGCATACATAGGAAAATGAAAAGCATCATTAAATCAAAGTTATCACACCGTTTCCTTTCGATGGGCGTAGGTAGGTATGGTAGGCAAAACTGCCGGGTACGGGTATGCAGAGCGTGCACAGCACTCGGGTGGCATATTTACAAGGGGGTGGCAAAATCAGTAGCCACACAAAATGTCCACAAAACGTACCGCTAGTTCGTCCTAAACTGCCTAACCTGGAGAGGGTCTATAAATTTAAATATCTAGGACACTGAGTTGCAGCTAATCTGAAGGACCTTGTAGACATGGAACGAGAATGGAGGACGTTGTGAAAGAGAACTTAAATGATTGTTCGCATTTTTGTCTGTTCAGTACCAGTAAAGGTAACTCTTTTTAAAGCATATTGTACACGCCCTCCAACAATGCGTTCAGGGCGGTGTTAGGGCTGCCCCGTTTCTGCAGTGCCTCGGGCATGTTTGCGGAAGCTCGCACGACTGCTTCCACACCACCATGCGCAAACGGTGCGAGTCCTTGGTGCGCAGGGTGCGGGGCAGTTTCAATTCCGTCCTGGCGATGATAGTGTGCGTTACCCCAGCAAAATAATGTCGAAAATGGTCATTTAAACGTTATAAATAATTAGTTGCTCCCCTTCTGTAATTGTTAAGCACATTTTTAAATTTGTTTCACTTAAACTTTTTTAGTTATTTCAAAAAAACATTTCCTGCTGGGGTAACGTTTGAAACGTTACCGCAGCCAGACATTTTCTTTTTTAATTGTAATATTGAAATAAATTTTAGCTAAATAATTAGTTATCTGGACTAGGTAAATGTTACAATTTATTTGGTATTTGTATTTTCTTCGTCTGCGAAGTTATTCGAGATCCTGCTGGAGTAACGTTTGTGGGTTTGCTGGATCTCTGAAACGGGTAAGCGGATTGTAACCATCTTTTGTACATAACTTCTTAAGGATTAGTTTTAATTTGTTCGACAGTAAAATAACAAAAATAATGGACCGTTTAAAAATTATTTAGGTAAGTATGAAAACACTTCAATACGTCCTAACACTTTGAATAAGACCTCTAAAGACTTACTTCAAACGTTATTCTATTGCTTGTAACTACCTTCAAATGTATACGAATTTTCGTAAGTATACTGTAAGTGACTAAAAAGTTGTGATGAAATATAGCTCTCCACGTTCACGATCACAATGTGTGCGGCCTTTTTTGGCCACCGATAAACCTGTGTGGGGATATATAAACTGAATATTATGCCAATAATTAGTTGTTTAGTTCAGTTGTCTACCTGTAAAAGTTCGGCGTCGTACATATAATAATTTACGAGATAATAAAATAAAAGTCATTAGAAGGTGCAAGACCGTGGTAACCCGACCATGTTTAGGTGGTTACATAAAAGCGATCACCCAGTACATTGTGCTGGCTTTTAAAATATGTAGGATATTATTTGCAAGTTTACTACGGATATGTACATAAGTGTTACAAAAAACTACATGTTTTTAAATAATTTTTATTTAGGATTGTTTATTGCATAATTAGTAATCAGCCGGGAGATTAGGTATTGTTTTGAATGCTTTTGTTTTCTTGTAATGTTTAGGTGAATTGTTTATAGTTGTTCATAGAATTGTTACCTGTGTAGTATTTGTTAATTGAAGTTTAATTTTAGGGTAGGTATAGGTAATTTAAGTTTTGAAGAGTGTAACTTATGCGTTGTAAATAGGTATTTTGTAAATAGATTGGGATTTTTTTAAAGTGATAAATCGACTTAGGCTAGCATATCGCGAACAAACTCTGCAGTGCATTATTTCTGTAATAATGTTGGAGAAAATAAAATATTTGATCACAAAATCGCGGTGAGTTAAATTATAATAAAATAAATTATTTATGTAAAATTAGTAATAATGATATACCTACAAGTTATGATCGTTTTTAATTTGTTCACCCCGAACGAAATTTCAATATTAGCATTAGTAATTAACATCCTAAGACAAGAATTCGCAATTACTTAAATTGAATCTAATTAGCATTTATTCCCATTACTAGTAATTAGGTACACACATATTGAAGAACTCCCAAGAATACGATAAATATTTGCAAAAATAGAAAGCGGAAGCGCACACGCACTTTACAAGACGTATATTATCTGCCTAAGGGTCAAGTTTAGTGCACTAGATGCAAATTGCAAACAATGAAGTATCCCTTCGCCCGTCCCCTCACGCGTTCTAGCTAAGGATGTAATATCGGCGATTCTTGATTGACAAATATTATCTGACCAATAATTTTATCTATAAAAATGTATCACTTTCACTCGATAAATTAAATTGCCGTTATTATATCAAAATATCATTCAACAACAAAATATCAGTCACAGGTAGGTACATAGGTATAGATAATTCTCGGTTCTCGGTATAGACCACAGAACAATATTACCTACTCTTACGAGGTATACGACTGTTGGGCGATGCAATGTTGATGCATTCTAATTTACAACTGTATTCTTCTACTATTATGGTCTATTTTAACTAATTGTAGATGACTTGTTCCTTTAAATATTTTGATGCATTCAAGTCTAAGCTCTATATACCTCAAAATAAAATACAATTACTTCAGTGTTATTTCTTTACAAAAAAAAACAAAGAAATGAAACGATTACTTAATGGTTTAAATTTTCGATTTATTGCAGTCAGGTGAATCGTTCATACATATATCTACATATTTATAATTTTAGCGGGCCAGTGCAGATTTTCTGTTGATTGCAGCTCCCGTAGTTAAACAGACTAAAGAAATTTTAAGTAAAGAAACTAGTGCTTAAGATCAATTAGGAAAAAAGAACAAAATAAATAATAGGTCATAATAATGAATAAATATTGAATGTATTTAACACTGTACGCAACTGTACCGAAATCGTAAGGTGTATTACACTAAACATTTTAAAAGACAGCGCAATGTACTAGGTGATCGCTTTTTTGTAACCACCTAAACATGGTCGGGTTACCACGGACTTGCACCTTCTAATGACTTTTATCTAACTATCTCGTAAATTATTATTTGTACGATACCGAAATTTTACAGGTAGACAACTGAACTAAACAACTAATTGTTGGCATAACATTCAGTTTATATATCCACACACAGGTTTATCGGTGGCCAAAAAAGGCCGCACACATTGTGATCGTGAACATGGAGAGCTACATTTCATCATAACTTTTTAGTCACTTACAGTATTCTTACGAAAATTCGTATACATTTGAAGGTAGTTACAAGCAATAGAATAACGTTTGAAGTAAGTCTTTAGAGGTCTTATTCAAAGTGTTAGGACGTATTGAAGTGTTTTCATACTTACCTAAATAATTTTTAAACGGTCCATTATTTTTGTTATTTTACTGTCGAACAAATTAAAACTAATCCTTAAGAAGTTATGTACAAAAGATGGTTACAATCCGCTTACCCGTTTCAGAGATCCAGCAAACCCACAAACGTTACTCCAGCAGGATCTCGAATAACTTCGCAGCCGAAGAAAATACAAATACCAAATAAATTGTAACATTTACCTAGTCCAGATAACTAATTATTTAGCTAAAATTTATTTCAATATTACAATTAAAAAAGAAAATGTCTGGCTGCGGTAACGTTTCAAACGTTACCCCAGCAGGAAATGTTTTTTTGAAATAACTAAAAAAGTTTAAGAGAAACAAATTTAAAAATGTGCTTAACAATTACAGAAGGGGAGCAACTAATTATCTATAACGTTTAAATGGCCATTTTCGACATTATTTTGCTGGGGTAACGCACACGCGATGATAGCAAACAGACTAGTTAGCCCCTATAATATGCGACATTGCTATTATTGAATTAATTAAAATAATAGTAATAAGATTAAACCGAATAAACGAATGAATGTCATATCCATATTTTCTTCTGTTTGTTTTAAGTATGTTTTATGATGATGGAAATGTCATGATCTAATTTTAATTTGGTAAATTGTAATCTGATTTCATTTATACGTATGTAAATGATTAGGTATAGGTATACTATGGATATTATGAATGAATGTGTACTGAGTTGTGACATAACATGGGTTGTGATTGATACCTGAAATAGAAGTATTTAAAAAAAACACAAACCATACGAAAAAAATGTTAATTAAGTAAAAAAAATATTTTTGCGGTCGAACATTGCAAAACATGTTACTAGAATAGTAATAAAAAAGGGAAATTAGTAGGTACGTTGTTATAAAAACTGTAATAGGTATTAATAAAATGTTAACCAAAACGGTGTTTAGTAATTCTAATATGGGTATAATAATTCTAACTGAAGTAGTACAATGTGCAAAAACTATGTGTGAATAATTTGTGTATATTATTTGTTGGAGATGCAATCAATAAATAAATAAAAGGATAACTGTAAATACTTACTTTTTGTCAAAGTGGTACTCTTTTACTAAAGCTTTTCTGAGATTTATTTCTGATTTGAAATCAAATCTCCAGGTTCTTAGAAGTAAAAAGAAAGGTTAGGGAAGAAGGGAAGTATAGAGGTTGTCAGAAATTGGCTTACCACTGTTTCATGAGTATTGAACACCCTAATACGCCGCTGTCTGAGGTAGGTACCTACACACTTAGACAGCAGCGTACAGAGATACAGGCGTGAGTGTACGTATAAGTATTTGTCATATTCTGTCCTCTTTCAGTATACCAGTAAACTAACTATTTACCTACGTTTACTTTAATTTAGACAAAAAAACCGGTCAGGTACGAGTCAAACTCGTGCGCCGAGGGTTCCGTACCTACCCAGATTTTACGTAGATTTTCGCGAAAATTTGTAAGTATCTCAATTTATCTTAATATTCAACTTTTTTTATTTTTTGGAATTATTCCTTTATTTGTGCTGTACGGACATTAGGCAACGCGATCTGGGCGGGCATCTTTAAGCTACTCAAGTCTCAGTCCCGTAGCCCTTTATTCTAATTCCTTCGCCCTATTCGTTTTCCTCACCCCCAATTTTAAACTTTCTTTATCCATCTGAAGATGAAAACATTGAGAAACTGTGTGTTGAAGTGTCCGTTCAGAAAGGCTGGCGTTAGGCAGGCGGCCGGTCATAAAGAAATGTAGCTAAAACCCTATGCAATGTTAAGCAAAACGTAGACCCCAAATAGAATATGAAGACGGGCAGAAAGATGATAATGATGCATTTTATACAAATTAATCTCAATTTGTTAAATAAGTTTTGCCTGCATAAAAGTAGCCTTTAAGCTACTTCAGAATAAAATATAACTCTTAACCGAAGAATTTATCAAATAAGGGTTTTTTATTATTAAAAAAACTTCAGTAGCTAGGAGATTCAAATATTTTTGAATAGGCTGCCTAAAAACTAAGATTATAAAATATAAAATGAAATTTTAAATTACTGCATTTGAGAAAACATCGTTTTTACTTTGGCTTAAAATATGTTAAGCCAAATACGAACAAAACTCTTTCTTCCAATGTCCAACAAAAATAAACTAGCAAATTACATAAATTTACATTTGTTTTTGAGATGGCGCTTCACGAATGCCAGATGGAAAACTATTCCGTTAATGCACTTGTTGATAAAATAATCTCATTTGTTGTTTGTCAATTTAAGTATGCGATTACTACCAATATAAGAAGAAATTAAATCACAGTGAACTGTAAAAGACCGGTGATTTATCATTCGTTTCTTTTTCGTACGTAGGTTAAGGTTAACACTTACCAGTAACCCAAGCGTTGTTGCTAAGAAGCTGTTTTCAGACGATGCATGAAGACCCTATTTCTAAATTTACTTTTAAATAGGTTAACAGTAAATCTAGTAATTATTTTATTTTATATAGCTACCATTCCCTACATAATAAATAAAAAATACTAGATTTACTGTTAAATAGCGTCTAACCTACCTACCTAGCAACTAACCTACGTACGTAAAAATCGAATGATAAAACACAGTTCACTATGATTTTGTCCCATGTCTATTAGCTACTATTAATTATTTGATTTATGTATCTTGTGAACAAATAATATTATTTGGCATATTTAATATTGCCATCCTCCAATAAAAATATCTGCTAAAATAAAAAAAAACTGAGTGTTTCTCTTAAATGTAAGATTTAAAAATTATTATCTAACTAATTCCCAATCCAAATTTTATCTGATATATCAGTGTAATTGATTGAGCCATAATGGATTTTCTTCGGAATAAATAACCAACGTCTAAATAAAAAGTGGTCATCTCCTTTTTAGCGCCCGGGCGACTAAATAACTAACCCCTATCGTTTTTGCATTTATATTAGTCGTTAGATTATTATTGTAGAAGGTGGGTCAATTAAATGTGTGATACAGGGCAGCCAACGGGACTTGTCAAACTATTAATCTTAGAAAACTCACAATAAAAAGGTTTGTATTATGAAAGCAACAAGGCCGTGAATTATTAAATAGGTTTATTTTTTTATTTATCAGGTATGATTTTTTTTCTAATAATCAAGACTTTCTTCGATAATTAAAAATATAAGGGCAAATTGGCCTCGAAGAAGCTCGGTGTACTGAACAGAGCGAGGCATATGGAATACTGTTTGCATCTCTATGCAGGGGCACCTCAGTACCAGCTTCTCCCTCTGGACCGCATCCAACGAAAAGCGTCTCGAATCGTCGAAAGCCCAAACGATGTGGCTTCACTCTGCATTCTCTATCGCATATATCATGGAGAGTACTCCGAGGAATTGTTCGGACTGACACCAGCCGTAAATTTCCGCCATCGTTCCACACCGCAAATTTTTCATCCTCATTACCTAGACAGTTGGCGCTCCACTACTGTGCGCTTTTCGAGACACTTTTTGCCCGGCACAACCAATCTGTGGAACGGATTATGGTCTGTGGTATTTCCGGACCGATACGACCTTCAAACCTTCAAGAAAAGAGAGCCTACCTTCCTAAAAGGATGGCAACGCATGTGTGACTCCTGCGTTACAGACGTTTATGGGCGGCGATAGTCACTTTCCATCAGGTGACCCGTCTGCTCGTCTGCCCCCTCTAACATAAAAAAAAAACAACACTTTATCTATCTTATAAACAATGTTATAAACACAAAATTGGTATACCAACTTGTGCTTTTTTAATCCGATTCGACTAATACGGATCCGTTTGTGTGAGGTCGTCAAAATCAAAAATCAAAATTGTTTTATTACAATAATAAACTTAATATTATAAATTTATAAGTAGCTTTATATCAACTAGGTAAATCATTTTTCCAATACTCACTGCCTTATGTAGACGAATTTTTAGTAGAGGAACTTGATAGTAAGTTTTTTCTAAGGGGTCACACTTTACATTATAGCAATCTGTGACTTCAACTTCAACCAGTGTGACCATTTACGGTAGATTTTCTACTGCAGCAGTAGATTTCCAATGAAAATTTGACTATGCAGTAGATGTGCAGTAGTTTTTAACAATCTAGTAGATTTCAGTAGATTTGAAGCAATAATGGTCCCGGCAGAAAGTACTTGTTATTAATTTTCCTAAGCCTATTAATTTTGTTGGCAGCTATGGCAGCGCTTATATTAGTACTGGTTGTAGCAGGGGCTCCTGTTTAGAGAATAGAGTATATTTTATTAATTATTTTAATTACGATTCAGAGTATCAGAGTTCAGCCTTATGTCAATATGTCATTCTCTTACATGCCTGTATAAATAGAATAATTGAACAATGGGACGCTTTAAAATTATATTTTAATCACCAATATTTATTAAATCGCAATCTTAATGCTGAATTTTTAAAAGTTCATTTTGATGATAATGTATCAACATTATATTTTTTGTTTTTGGATTATGTTTTACCAATTGTTAATAAATTTAACACAATTTTTCAATCGGAATATAGTGCCGGACGGCCTATGGATATGAGCGATAATATATGTATAAGGCCTTACTGAGTTGTTACAATTTCTAGATATTAATCCAATGTATTTGGGTGTTAAAAAAGCAAAATTAATTGTAAAAATGGGTAGCGATTAGACATAAAAATTCAGGAGTTTTAAAGAAGGTTGTGGTTATTTCCAATTGAGCTATGCCTGCAATTGAAAAAAAAGACTGTCAATGGAACATCATTTGTTTAGGGAGATAATATTTTTGGACCCCAAATAGTAGCGTATGAGCAGTTGTCTAGTGTCCTGTCACTGACTTAACGTTTTTCTTATTTAGTGTATGACGAAAATACACAACAATTAATTGACCAAGATTATCGCCAATTAAAACATGACAATAACGTACAAAATTTACTACAGTGTCACGGGATACTGAAGTTTTATGGCAAGCGTTCATATATTAACAGTTAGTTAGTTCATATATTAGTAACAATAATTTAAAATATGATAATATCTGTAAATTTGCAAAATCGATGAATTGCTTGCTTTTATCGAACGCTTCTTGAATTAAAACTAAACATAGTAATCGATTTTTTAAATACACACATATCATCGCTTTTGCACACAAAACAAGGGATAATTGATAATTGAGAAAATTGTACAAACTTTGTAATTGATTATAATATGATTAGATAACATAAAATTTTTAATGATAATAAATATTCTCAATCTAATTAAAATAGTAAATCGTGTTTTATTTCAAAAACATTGTTCAAATGGATCAAAATGTAGATTGGTAGAATTTCTGTAGATTATTTTTCTTCAGTACATTTTCGTAGAAAAAGTTGCCGAATTTAGTAGATTAGTAATATTTTATAACGGTCACACTGACTTCAACCTTTGGTTAATGGCTGTACGCTAACTTCACTAAAAATTGACGTTTAAGTCGGCCATTTTGCAGTTTTTACGGTGACTAGTACACACGTGTCGGGTAGGTTATACGATAAAATAAAATATAAAATCCTAAATATTAATTAAAGTTGTGCCCTAAAATCATGTGAAAACATTCCAGGTTACCAAGATGGCAGTAACAAAAAAGCCTGCGCCTAAAAAGGCCCAATTGCAACAGAAGGGTGGCAAGAAAGGAGTTAAAGGTGGCAAAATCCGTGGTAAGGGCATCAAGCGGAAGATCAACTTAAAGTTCACAATTGATTGCACACACCCCACCGAGGACAGCATCCTTGACGTCGGCAACTTCGAGAAGTATCTAAAGGAGCGCGTTAAAGTCGAGGGTAAAACAAATAACCTCGGCAATCACGTTGTCATCGCCAGGGACAAGACTAAGATCACCATTAATGCAGGTAAATTTTATTGAACCTACATTTTCGCCATGATATCTGTCCTTTCAATAATGTTCATTCCATAATCTTGTTTCCGATGAATATAATTTGTGAATTATGTACAGAACCGCCACTCGGCCGCTCAGACAGAACTTGTCAAAATGTGAACATCTTAGAGGAAAAGAGTAGATACATAAGTTTAAAAAAACACTGTTTCGTAAAGGATTTTCTTTGAAAGTTACATTTATAATCAACATAACCTATATTTGTTTAGAGGTTATGTTTGATCCTAAAAGATGTATATTATAATTATGCAATTGCATGGTAATTGTTCATTATTATTCCAATTACTTAATTAAACATGTGTCTAACTGGATAACATTTATTTTAATAAGGATGTTTGCTTAACATGTTAAAGCTGTAGGTGACTTACCTAAACAGTATATCTTCAAAGGTTTCTGCCAAAGGTTAGAGATAGAATATCTTAAAGAAATTATCAAGTTACTATGCCAACATTACCAAGAAATAGATTTTAAGTAATTTTTGAATTTTGTCATTCTGTACACAATATCCAAAACTGATAGTCAAGTGTGAGCTTGCCATTGGACGTACTTAAAAAACACGTCCATTAACCCGGCCCAAGGCGAAATAGAGTCCTCTTCTCTATTTGGCACTTGGGTAAATCCTGACCGGCGCGTCCTTGTCGCGGGGGTGGGCACCACATACTTCAGTAGGCCGGAGTATGCAGGTGGCAGAGTTCGGCAGGGACCCTGTCCTGTGGGGTATAACGCAGGACCCTTGCCTCCCGGTCAAGGGTGAAAAAATCAATCCCGATAATTGACAAGAACTGAAAACTTGTAAGCTTATAGAAGGAGACAAGTGCTACCTGAAGTGCTAAGACTCAAGGTAGTGTATACTTGATGGCCACACTCCTTTTATTCCTCCTTTTTCCTGTGTGAACAACTTGTGATACTGTTCCATACTGATCTTTAATTAATTCTTGGTTACAGACATTGCTTTTTCAAAGAGGTACCTGAAGTATCTAACAAAGCGTTACCTCAAGAAGAACAACCTCCGTGACTGGCTGAGAGTGGTGGCATCCTCGCACGACTCATATGAGCTTCGTTACTTCAATATCAATGCTGACAGCGACAATGAAGACAATGAAGATTGATTTGTTGGAGCAATAAATTAGTTTTATACTATGCATTGTTTTATTTGATAATAATTAATTGATTTCAAAGTTTGTTATGTAAATTGTTTTACACTGAGCATTCTTCCTCCAATCCTTTTACCAAACTAACTTAGGGTCGCCTAAATCTACTAGGATATGGCTGTACTTCGATGTTTTACGTGGAGTGACTGCCATCAGATATCCACAACCCAACTAGGCGATGTCAAAGCTTAAGTAAAGTTTGTTTTATACTGAATAAAATAAAAAAGCTTTTATAATTCCATTGGCATGTACATTCATATGAATAGTAATGGTGTTGTGTCACTGACACTGGCTTGTCACACATCATTGATTTCAATGTGTGCGTTGCCCTAGCCGAAAAAGTTCGAATTTCATTATTTGAGTCTAACAGATATTTAGTGTATGACGAGGTGTAATTTTGTATGGTAAGTAATAAATTGTGCATCCAACCGTTGGGAAAATTCACGAAAAACTGTTAAATATATATTGTATAAATAATAGATAAAAAACTTTTATCCTATGGATGTAGAAGAAAAAAAAATGGTATCAAAAATTCGTGTGTGACTTGAGGTAATTGAGTGTCTACATGAATGTTGTGCGGCAATAAACTGCGAAGATAAAACGCTTTTCTAGAGAGCTGTAGATTTTTCATACATTGTTTTAATTTGTTAATACTGTTTGTAAAAACAGATTTAAAAACACCCAAACGATTCAGAAGATATAAATATAATCGTAAAATAAGGTTATTAGGTCCACTAGGACCTAATAACCTTATATTTAAAACTAGACCCTAGTGCATAAGTACTAAGTACTAACTTAGTACTTATGCACTAGGGTCTAGTTTATAATTAATTATAATAAAATGTAATAAATAATAATAATAATGCCCCAGTTACCTCTATTATAATCATTATCTCGGAGTTCTGAAAACTGACACTGACATATAGTAGGGTTATATTGATCTACAGTAAATAAAAACAGCATGAATAATATGAGATTTTTACATTTTTATTTTTCGTTACACATACATTCATAAATTAATATAAAATGACATTATGTACGTAAGACAGAAAGAAACGAAGTGAAACTTATTTACTATAGTCATCTACATTTTATAGTACAACTAATTTAAGATTCATCACAATTGCAACTGCGATTATAGTATTGTTTGAATGAGAGATGAGCTATAACATAAATACTGGAACTACACGGTAACAAGTTGCTCGCACCCGACATAAGGCAACAAATACATAACGTATTACTAATTTTTTTACTGGCAAAAGGTCAGATGTTCACGTTTTTCAATTTACTGGCCTTTTAAATTTGTATCTTGTTCCTCTTTTTTTGTTAAATATTCTTTTAGAACATCTAATCTTTTGATTTTAATGTTGATTACGACGGTGACGCGACTTTACACACAGTGTTTATATATTTTGCTTCAGTGTAACTACACTTTATAATCTACCCTAACATTGGGGTTACGCGTTCAATGCAAGTACATTAGGAGCTAAGGCGAACGGGCGAGTGTTTGTCTTCATTTGCCAGCAGCGATCTCCTTCATCCTGTTCAGCGCGGAGCCAGCTTGGAACCACGTGATCTGCTGCTCGTTCAGTGAGTGGTTCAGTTTGATGATTTCTGTCTTGCCATCCGCGTGTTTCAATTCACAGTCCACGGGCTGTAACAGATAGAAATAATGGAGTTTCTGTGACGAAAGATACGAAAAGAATCACAATCAATGAAACCGCTTAAATAAGTCTTTTATCATCATCATCAACAGCCTTAGGACCTTGGGCCTTAGCCTTAGGACATAAGAAATTTTTATTTAATTATTAATTGTTTGTTGTGTATAATACGCATAATTGTAACACCTTTATAACTACCCTGATAAATGATGACAATCTGCCCTACCTATATCAATTTAATCGATCTCAAAATCGAGACATTCTTAAGACACATTACGATCGCTTAATAGTTTACGCCAAAAGAGTAACGATACAGTGTTTTATACTGACTTTGAGAGCTTGAGACATATAGGAGTACCGTCTATTTTAATTTGCGTTTCGAAAAACCATCATTTTCAAATACATTAACGATATTTTTATGACTTTCGTCTACGCAGTCGTCGTCGTCGACTTACTATCTAGGTCCTAAGTTATTAAATCATCACATCACATCATCAGCCTTTAATAGTCCACTGCTAGCGATAAGCGTCTCCTTAGAAAGGAGTTTTTAGTCCACGCTGGCCAGACGGGTTGGTATAGGGTTTATGTTGAGTTTTCATTCTCTGCAGTGCTGTGGTCCTGCATTGTTTGCTCCCTTAGTCGACTCATACGACACGTATATTTATTCCGTCACTACACGGATAACTTTTGCCAATTGTTTAGATAGCAAAGTTGCCTTTACCTGACCAGGTGACAAGTTACTAAGTCCAAGGAGGGAGATCTTGTCATTGGGTTGAACCTTGTCGTAGTCACTGGCGTTGGCGAAAGTCAGTGGCAACATTCCTTGCTTCTTCAAGTTCGTTTCGTGAATTCTGAATTCGGAAAAGGTACTATATTATTATCATACAGCTTAAGAGGGATAAAGTGTGAGAGTAGTACGAGTAATCGTAAAAAATATGTTTGTGTAAAATATAGTTTTCATTAACTCTGGAGGCTTTTGTGTTATAACAATAATTAGTAATGTTACTTAACTCCTAGTAAAACACTTTTATACCCAGTGCATTTAAATTTATGTCATAAAAATCAATAACTAATTATGATGTTGCGCTTTTTTTTTGTTTAAAATGTTCTATTAACAATAAAATTTATTTAAGTAGGATTGAATGGTAACACTGGCTGAAAATATGTCTTAATGTATAAGATATTATGTCTTAAAATACATTTAAATGGCGATTTATTAGTAAGTGCAGCAATCAAACTTACGTGAGCATTTTAGCGGCAAATTTTAAAATTAACTTTTTGCAATGTATCCTTTTTTGGATATAGGGGCCCGGGGTATTTTCCGCTCAGTACCAGGGGGAGGTGGCAATGGGCTCCGATAAACTCACTAACTCAGTGCTTTTCACCGAGTTTCTTGTCAAGCCGTGGTGCCGTGTTACTCCGGTCAAGCCGGTCCATCTGTGCCGAAGCACGGCTCTCCGGAATGCAGCAAGGCAAGGTGTGAAGTGACGTACCTGGCGAAAGACTTGACGATGATGGCTCGTCCGCCGAGGTGGCGCGGCTCGAGCGCGGCGTGCTCGCGCGAGGAGCCCTCGCCGTAGTTCTCGTCGCCGACCACCACCCAGCGCACGCCCGCCGCCTTGTACGCGCGCGCCGTGGCCGGCACGGGCCCGTACTCGCCCGTCACCTGGTTCTTCACCTTGTTCAGCTCGCCGTTCTCTGCGTTCGTTGCGCTGCAAATATTTAACCATTATATACATATATATTTTTAACTTATTTAAAAAAAAAATGATATCATCAAAAAAGTCATATCACAGTTCGAAGCAGCCAATGTTAGGCCCCTTATGACGCTTCTGGGACATACGGGCTTCCACGTTAGTTTTATAAATAACAGACAATTTACACTATTTTTTTTAAAGATTGGAGGAATGTGAATTGACGTTTACTTTTCACAATGCAGAGGAATCAAACAAACAACTTACGTGATAAACATATTGTTAGAGATGTTATCGAGATGTCCTCTGTACTTGAGCCAGGGTCCAGCAGCAGAAATGTGGTCCGTGGTGCACTTGCCCTTGACTTTGATGAGGATGGTCATATCCTTCAGGTCTTCACCGTCCCATTTATCGAAGGGTTCAAGAAGCTGAAGACGGTCAGAGGTCGGGGCCACATCAACTCTTATACCTGAATGAAAATAAATCTATGTAATATTAAACACAAAACAGTTATGAACTTTTTTATCCATTAGTTTTTTAAGCTTTTTATTGTTATATTTGTTTACTATTCTCATATGTAACATAAATACTCTACAATCTTCAACTAATGAAACTTGAAGAGAGTAAAATGCTTGTGTCGTCATACGATTAACCATCAAATATTAACGGGCATTGCTTTAACAAAAATTATGTTATCACTAAGAGTTAATTTAACATTTTTAATTTCAAGCTTATCCCAGTTTCCAAATATCCTTTCAGAAAAAATGGTGTTTTATGTCTGGCTTCATGGCTCTACTTTATTATCACAATACGTTATAGCCGTGTAACATAAGTGAAGTCACGGATTTCGCTATATGGTCTTACTGTAATTACATCAACCCGTCGCGAGTGTTTGCATAAGAACCATAATAATTTGATGATTGTACGTTTTAGTCGATGAGATTGTTTTTTAGCTTATGAATATTTTCAGTCTTTGAGCGTAACGTATACAACTTCCTAACATTGTCGGTTGGTTTACCTCCCTCTGCGTTGGAGGAACATAACATCTGGAGGTCGTGGGGTTTGATTCCAACCCAGGACAAATATTGTGTGAATGTATGTATAATATGTATGTATTTAAAAATGTATTAAATTATCATTAGACTGGATATCATAACACAGGCTCTGCCTAGTTTGGGATCAGACGAGCAGTGTGATCCCAAACAGCAAAGCACAGCAGGTGTCAATTTTTTTTAAGTATAATACTGTAACTAACTGCTGCCGTCAGCTGGTGGGTGCTGGTATGTGTCCTGGCCAGGGTCGAAGCCCCTGGAGGGTAGTTCGTCGCCGTATGGATCAGAAAGTTTGAACTTTTTGCCGTCCTTGCCGGTCAACTCATCCTTGAGAGGATTGAAGTCCAGACGACCTGAAAGTAAAAATAATTAGTACATTATAATAACATTTTGAACTTCAAATAATATAAATTAAAATAACATCCAATCATTGCAATTTTCTCTATAATTGTAGTGGTCAGGTTTGTATTGACAGCAGGAATAAATTGGTTAATTGCTTTTGGAGTAAAGAAAAATGGGACCAAATACGTACACCAAGGTAGCCTATTTGAGACCAAGATTAAGTATTCCTGATAAGTCATTTGTAACATATTAAATTATTTACTATAAAAAATTATATGATAGATCAAACTTTACTAAATACACTAATTTTGGAGTCTGTACTTTTGCCGCTTTTGTACAGGGTGGGGTTCGATCCCGCAACTATTTGGTCGCAAGTCCGACGCCTACATAACATAAATTGCATACAGATAATAATGTTAAGATTCAAGATATAATTTAGAAGCACTTATTTACCAGAAAGTGCCATAGCGGTGACAAGCTCGGGACTGGTGACGAAGCAGTGGGTGGCGGGGTTGGCGTCGTTACGGCCGGTGAAGTTCCTGTTGTATGACGTCACAATCGTGTTCTTCTCGCCCTTCTTAACGTCTTTGCGATCCCATTGACCGATGCAGGGACCGCACGCATTCGCTAGCACCTTTCATAAGGTTATAAGAGCGATTTTTAAAATAAGTTGTTGTAAACAATACGACGGACATGTCACATGTAAAAGCTTTAACAGGCTAGAAAAAATGTTAGTCTTATTTTTAGTCTAAACAATTTTTTCATCTTGTTTTCACTTTGTATGTATGACTTTTTGAAAACATAATTTCATTATGGTTCCCGTATACATGTCTGCTGGCTATTATTTTTGGAATGAGGCTAACACAGTTAGACTAACATAAAAGACAACAAGTTTATTTTAGAAGCAAATAACAATACTATAGCTTTGGGGCAATCGAGCAGCGGTGCTATTCTTTAAAGAAACAGCTTTGCGTACAGCACTGCCACATGGAATTTCAAACTAAGTTAGTTTGAAGTTCGATGCTTCAGCGCTGTACGCAAGACTGTTTTCTTAGAGAATAGCACTGCTGACGAGTCACCTGATGGTAAGTGACTACCGTCGCCTGCAACTCAAGAATTATAAGTGCGTTGCCGCACTATGAGTCCCTCTCCATAGAATCAGAGAGCGGGGAAGGGTTTGAGCTCCGGTAACCTCAATCACTCGGTGAAAATAAACAAAAGACCAAAAGACCGGTTTTCTGTGTGGCCACGGTTTCATTCTTCGAGCCTCTCATGCTAAACTCTCGTTGTCACTCGTTTGGTTTACTTTCGTTAATTACATACGACAATGTGCGTCTTTACTATTCTCATATGTAACATAAATACTGTAAAAACTTTGACTAATGAAACACGCAGAGAGTAAAATGTTTGTGTCGTAATACGATTAACCATCAAATATTAACGGGCATTACTATAACTAAAATTATGTTAAGTTAATTTAGCATTTTCTGTTACATTACTTATTTCAATTTCAAAGAACACTGTTCTCAGTTTCCTATTTAGAAACTCTTTTCACAAAAAAATGTTTATTATGTCTGGTTTCACGGCTCTTCTTTATTTTTCTTTACTTGTTTGGGGAGAAAACTCATCCAACCATAGAGCTACAAAGCGAGATGAAGCCCCTTCAACCCCGGGGAAGAAAGTAAGGTAGTAATTTGACTCACGGTGCTTCCGAAGTCGCGGAGCGTCTGCGCGATGCCGTCGCGCTCGATGGTGGCGCGCACCTGCTCGGAGCCGGGGGTCACGTTGAACGGGATCTTGGACTTCACGCCGTGCGCCAGCGCCTGACAAACAAAGTACAACAACGATACAAGATAGAACGAAATTAAGATTTTTTTTTCTTTGAAGATATACTTAGAAAGCAAAAATCTTTATCTAAATACAAAATCTATTAATCAATAATACTAATAAGTAAAAAAAAAAGTACGCCTGTTGGAACAAACGTAGGTCACGGAAGCACTTTGTATTTGGAATACTTAACGTTTATACGTAGAAAAAGGGCGGAAAACTAAAACTTATAAATAATCTGTATACCTAATCTGTATTTGGAATACTTAACGTTTATACGTAGAAAAAGGGCGAAAAACTAAAACTTTTAAATAATCTGTGCTATAAACTACGAAATTATCGAAACTATACCCAAGAGATCAAGTTTTTATTTTGACTTGTCACGGTACAAAAGTCTACTGGTCAAAGAAATAAAATAAGACTACAAACAAGACTACGAAACTGACGAGAATTAACTGCCTGGTGATATCCAGTTTCATTTAAATCGTTGAAGCAGTTGCATTTTTTGAGGAACCACTGCGAAGCGTGAATACATTTAATCATTATAATTTCTTACAAGAATTATTCGTATAAAGCATAAAATATTGCGGTCACTGACCTCTTTGACGATGCTGGCACAGCGTCCCATGTCTTCATACGAGGAGTTGGTGCACGATCCAATGAGACCGACTTTGATGTCAATTGGCCAGTTGTTGGACTTCGCCGCTTCACCCAGTTTGGAGATTGGGTGTGCAAGATCAGGTGTGAATGGTCCGTTGACGTGGGGCTCCAGGGTGGACAAGTCTATCTCGATGACCTATTAATAATAATTTATATAATTATGTTAAGGTAAATACGTATTTTAATATTGGTTTTGCAATTTTTCTCTTCATACATAAAGAACTACCATGATCATTTGTACTTGATAAGTTAGACACCCGTGTCTAACTTATCAAGTACAAATGTTTAGCATGTTTATTTGCGAGAATTGGTTTTCGATTTTTCATTCGATTCGATTCGATTCGATTCCAATCATTCGTTCGTGATCATCATCATATTCCCTTTCTAATAACTTACTCGTAAAGATTGTTCATACAATTTGTAATTATAATATGTCGAATGCTAATTCATTTACATTTAGTTGTGGGAGGACAGAATATTTAAATTTTAAAATAATTGCTGACTGTAAGGCTCAACCAGTTAAAGCGTGAATCATAGTTAAAAAGTTATCATTCTCCATCAAAATTAACATGTACAAAAGGTTCTGTTTAAATAGTTTATTAGATAACAAATAAACAACGCCGGCAACGCGTTTGTGACTCCAGAGTTGCAGACGTTCATGGGCGGCGATGGTCACTTTCCATCAGGTGACCCGTCTGCTCGTCTGCCCCCTCTAACATAAAAAAAAGCTTATAGCAGTCCACTGCTGAACATAGAAATCTCTCAATTAATGCCATAGTACGGTCCGCATCCTTTTGCATCCAGTTTCCGCATCTGCTATACCAATCCATACTAATATTATAAACTAGCTGACCCGCGCAACTTCGTCTGCGTCTCTCAAAAGTAATAAATTTTCTCCGTTTTTGAAACATTCTTCATTGGTGCTCCGCTCCTATTGGTCTTAGCGTGATGATATATAGCCTATAGCCTTCCTCGATAAATGGGCTATCTAACACTGAAAGAATTTTTCAAATCGGACCAGTAGTTCCTGAGATTAGCGCGTTCAAACAAACAAACAAACAAACAAACAAACTCTTCAGCTTTATAATATTAGTATAGATGCGAAAGAGCGTCTATCTGTTTGTTACCTCTTCACGCTTAAATCGCTTAACCGATTGAGATAAAATTTGGTACAGAGATAGTCCGAGTCACGGGAAAGGACATAGGGTAGTTTTTATCTCAGAAATCATACTTTACGGGGGTTAAAAGGGGGGCGGAAGTTTGTATGGGAAATCAAGAACTGCTGAACAGATTGAGATGGTCACTTTCCATCAGGTGACCCGTCTGCTCTTCTGCCCCCTTTATCATAGAGTTTAATCAGTTATAATGCTAACCCTGTCGTAAGGTGCTCCATCGTCTGGAGTGAGCAGGTTCTTGTACTCATTGGCGGCGGCTGCAATATCTTGACGGAGAGTGGATTTGAGGTAAGCTTCCATTCTTGCATTGTAGGGGAACACCTGTTTGAATAAATTCCTTTTTAAATATTTTTATTACCACTACTAGTAAATAGTGAGGTATCAACATAATACCAGATCCTGATTTTAAGCACATTTATAAAATAAATAATTCTTAATTTAATTAAATTTTAATAAATTTGAAAAAAAGCGTGGGGTGCTTTTTACTATTGACAGCAGGCACCCAACCCTTCTTTTTAAATTTGTTAAAATTTATTTTCTATTTTTTAGTTTGGTTTTCTATAAAAAGCGTGTTTTTTAGTTTTTTTAAACTATTTTTTTTTAATATTTTTGGTTTTAAATTAGTGTATTGCCATCGGTCCTCGATATATCTACAAAGTTTGAACGAATTCTGACCGTTTAAAGTCAGTCAAAATCACGCCCAAAGGAGTCGGTTACAAACAAACATACAAGTGAAGCTAATATAAAGCGTGTAAAAATATAACTATTCAGCCGTTCGAAGATCATCAGCTTTTCTAAAAGCAAATTGTTGAATGTGGGTAAAATATTACTTGACACTTCCTTAATTTTTTCAAGCTTATTTATTAATTCATCGGCTATATAAACTTATATATGCTAAAATATGGTCATCGACATCTTTCTGTAACATGTATAGTAAGAACTTTGTATTGTGCTAGTCCCTCCCAAACGCCCACCACTGAAACTCCTTTTACACCAGGATCAACAGCAGTAACCCACGAAAACACCGAGTTACGACACTCGGGAACTCCCAGGAAAAGTAAACTGTCTTGGAACCCGCAACATAATCATCGCATCAAAAATAAATTGGAGGAGTTGGAGGTATAATAAATCCACTTCTGAAGAACTTGGTATGTGTACTCACGCTGGTGGTAGCTCCAATTTCAGCACCCATGTTGCAGATGGTAGCCATACCAGTACAGGAGATGGAGTCAACACCTGGGCCGTAGTATTCAACGATGGCTCCGGTGCCTCCCTTCACAGTGAGGATGCCGGCTACCTTGAGGATAACGTCCTTGGGACTGGTCCATCCCTTCATTTTACCTGTAAAGTTAACATTTTCTTATTCGTTCGTAGCCAATTTCGTGGGCAAGGGTTTACCTCCATTCATTAACGTATTACGAACAAGTAAAAATTTAGTACAAGGACAGAATAAATAGAAGATATTTTTAATTACTTCTAGTGACCTTACGATACTGCATGAAATAGTTTGTAGTTATTTTATCTCTGACATTTTGCAAGCGGTCTACTCCAAGTGTTGTGCATGCCGCGGCTAAATCATAGAATTGAATATTTCATGATTTAAGTTTGTGTGTATGCGTGTGTGTGTTGCTACAGTGTAAGTTATAAATCACATCTAGTGACTTATCGATAAAACACTAATATAATACTTATCATTGTGAATAGTTATTAAATCTTTACATAGTATAAAATGAAGTCGCTTTTTTGTGTTGTACGCTTAGATCTTCTAAACTAAGCAACGGATTTTAATGCGGTTCTTACAAAAAAAGAGATTGATTCAAGAGGAAGGTTTATACGTGTAATACATACATATCATATTAGTGAAAATCCGAGAATTTCAAGGATTTCTCTTAAAACATGGTTTTGCGCGCTTACATTGCAAACACTGGCTAACCCTTACGAGATTGACCTAAATAATGTACTCCGGAATTGTAATCTCAAAAAGATCTATATTTTAAATATTACAAAAAAATAAGGGGTATTTACGAAGCTATTTTAAACAATACAGTATTATTCCTTATCCAATTAAATACGTTAGGTACGTGGTGCATTTAATTTAGATTAAAATTGCTTTTTCCAGCATATCATTAAAATGAATATTTTAGAAGATATGAGAGGATTAAAATGCGGGGCCCAAAAGACCGTCGAGCCGTAAGTTCCTCTCGGGTGGCAGGATCGGAGCGGGCCTAAAAATATTGCATTTTAAGATATCCTGTAGTATAGTCCTATCATAATATTATAATAGTATAATTAATTACTCCACACTGCCGGCTTCGCACGGGTGCAATGTAGATACTACTAATGTGGTAACATTAGTAGTATCTACATTGCACCCGTGCGAAGCCGGGGCGGAACGCTGTATATTATAATAACTTATTCTTTAAAGTAAACAACAGTGATTATAACAAATGATTTTACGCTATCTTTCAGATAATAGTTCAAGTGGCGGTTTGTTTTACAAATGTTTTTATTTTAATTATCTATTTGATTGTGAGTGTAAAAGAGAATACTATATCCGGTGTCGACTATAAAAGATAACACACGTTCACATTTTTCGTTATGTGTCAGCGAAAGAAGAAATTCCTGCGCAAGTTTAACGTACGACAATGTATCTATATGATATATATGTTTACACATTACTTTGATATTACACACATAAATAGTTTTTAATATTCATATGTATAGTATAAATTATAGAATACGTTTTATACGTAAGGAAATCCTTCATGAGTCAAGTAAAATTAAAGAAATAAACTTAAATTACTTTAAGTATTATAAATAGAATATTTTTAATAATTAACACTTCACGGCTATGTAATTTCTTTATAATACATTCTCCATTAGCTTGGAAGCTGACTTATTAGAAAACAACATACAAGATCAAAGCGCTTCAATCTTGAATCGAACCTAGTTGCTGTAATGACGCATTGTACTTTAAAATAAATTCTTCCACAGCTTTAAATACAATAAACATTTAAAAAAATATATTATATTCCCTGTAACAAAGATATGCAGAAAGGTAGATAACGATAGCGTCAAATCAAACGCCTACGCAGGTGTGATACAAAACATTTATCTTTGTTTAAGGTTATCTATTTTTGGCAGATAAAAGTTGCAACAGAAAAAATGCGGCAAAAAATGTGGCGTAAAATGCCAAGTTCTAGTTTAATTACTGTCTTTTTAGTCTTAACTTGTTCGTATGTTTGACTACGATCGTTAGATGTCGAATAAGATAAGTCTGCTGGAGTATGTAACATAGTTTTTCTGTTACGTAATGCTCAGTAGAAACATGACGTCGAGAATATAGCAATGGATTTTTTCATTACATAACAATCAAGAATCAAAAACAAGAAGTGCTAAGATTTTTTTGTATTGAGATCGTCTGGAGGAAATATAAAATGATTTTTAATGCGAATGATGCGCATGCACAAATGTTTATGAACTCATTATACTCAGTTAGTTGAACCTATTGTCAATAGCCTTAATAGTTCGTAGCATGTAATATGTATCAATGTCATTCGTATTAGATATCAAGACTCATTTGCGTGTGCGCAGAAAAATATATTACCAGGCGTTCTTTAACGCTGTCATTGGTCAACGTGTTGTCTTTATTCATTGTGAATTGCGCAATTCGACTACGCTTACATAGCAGACAAGAACTCAAAAACAGAGATGATGACGGATGGGGTGATTTATCAGTTTCTTACAAAAGCTTCTTCGAATCGAGTATGTATTTACTGTCATTAGGGATATTCTGAGGCCCAAGTGCGAGTTTATTTCACATCACTGGACAGCGAGCGCGTTCGGCGTTTGGATTGGTGCAGATTTCAGTGCTGACCAATCGCAGCGCGCGAACGCTCTCACCGTGACGATCAAGTAGATTTGAAATAAACTCACACTTGGGCCATTTTCGATCATAATTATTTAACGTTTAAATGTTTCTCTGTCTTAGAATAAGGTTACGCGACAGAACTTTATGACAATGTATTTACCAGTGTATACACATTTTAGTAATAGTTTTCACAGTATTTGTTATAATATTTTGACATGCTAAACTTAAAATTCTTCAAGATTGGTACCTTTCTTATAAATGCGTACAAAGAGTTCTATTCCAGTATTAACATACCTTTAGTTTATCAAATATTCCTAACAACGGTAGCATATACACTCAAACTTTTATCTTTTCAGTGGGCTATAATACCCTATACAAAAATAGCTTAGGAGTAAAAAGAACAATTTTGATAAAAACAAACAAAAAACACTAAAATAATATTATACCTAGGTAGATAATCCTCAATTGGTCAATGAGAGCGTTTTTTTTTTAAATTTAGGTAAAGAATATTTTAAATGATTTTGATTGGGTCCTTTCCTGCAATAAGGAGTAATTTCGTGAAGAGACGAAATTATTTCATATAAAGTCGGAGAAGCTATTGACCAATGAGCGCGCCGCGGTGCTGGGGTCAACTGCGCATGAGAAGCCCGATGTTACAATACAACATATAACAATAATAATATTTTAGATAAAGTACACCAAGACACAGAACAAATGACCGTGCTCATCACACAATTACTAGTCCTGGATGGGAATCGAACCCACGACCTCTGGTGTAGCACTCAGGGTCACTAGACATGCAACTAACGTAAGATTCATTCGTTTAGTACTATTACAGCTCTCGAAGAACTACCGAATTGAAGATATACATACATATAATATATCATATTATCATATTATGATCAGTTTACGCCTAAAGTTTGACAAAATGTGCTAGACGGTACTCCGTTGTGAACTTGCACCTCTACAATGATTAGCATATCACGTGTTGTCTAGACTTAGGGTACAGGTTAGGGTCATCGCACAAATAATATTTAACTAGCAGTAATTAAAAGTAAATTAAATTAAAGTAAAACAGTTAACTAAATGTTTTAATTTTCTATCAATACAAATAAATATAATTGTCTATTCGTAATGTCAAAATACTAGTTTTTTTATGGACATACAGTCATTTGTATGATTCCTATGCCTAAAATCAATTTTAAAAATGTTTGTCTGTTGGTTCCGAAATAAAATAGCTAAAAAAAGAGGGACAAAATCCGATTTTTTTATCAAAATTTATATATTTTTAAACGATTTTAATGCGCTCGCAATTTAACAATAGGTATTTGGTTTCAACAGAACCCATGCTTGCCTGTTAAGCAGCGTCCACACTATGCCGGGCGAGGCCGAGCGGGCTGACCCGGGCGGCCTAAGCCGGGTTGGTGTGGACGCCCCGGGCGGCTTAAAAAGCCGGCCCGAGCCGAGCCGATCCCAACCCGCAGAAAGTAGGTACAGATCAAAGGATGCCGGCCCGAGCCGAACGAAAATATGCAGTGGGGACGTGCCGAGCGGCACCGGGCGGCTTTAGTTGTCCAGTCTTGGTGTCGAATTGAAACTAATAGGTAGATATAACCCGGGCGGCCTCGTTTTCGGTGTGGACGTCGTGCCGGCCCGAACGAACCCGCCCGGCTTAGGCCGCCCGGGTCAGCCCGCCCGCCCTCGCCCGGCATACTCCGGCATAGTGTGGACGCTGCTTTAGCACTTGTTTGCCTAGACAATAATATCTCTACAATTGTATTTTGTTACTGTTAATAAGTGTAAACAAATGTTGGTGAACTAATAAAAAATAATAAAAGACGCCGCTTTCTGTCTATCAGTTGGGTTATATTGTGTACTGTTTACATAGATGTTGTGTATATTATTACGATATGTGTGTATGATTTCAATTATTGGCGTCGCGTCGACAATTGGACGTATCCCTACATACATAGCTATAGTATAACCCTATGAATTTCACATACTGCCAACAATGGTTGTCACGTGGCGAGTAATTTATAAAGACATTTTCAGTGGAATTATACAGTATCTGCTTTGCCTTTCACGCGTAAATGTCGGTTATCGCGAACCGGTACCACAAAAGAATCAAAGTATCTCTATACCAAATTTCATCTCAACCTGTTCAGCAGTTCTTGATTTCCTATACAAACTTCCGCCCCCCTTTTAACCCCCGTAAAGTATGATTTCTGAGATAACTACCCTATGTCCTTTCCCGTGACTCGGACTATCTCTGTACCAAATTTTATCTCAATCGGTTAAGCGATTTAAGCGTGAAGAGGTAACAAACAGATAGACGCTCTTTCGCATTTATAATATTAGTATGGATTGGTATAGCAGATGCGGAAACTGGATGCAAAAGAATGCGGACCGTACTATGGCATTAATTGAGAGATTTCTATGTTCAGCAGTGGACTGCTATAAGCTTTTTTTATGTTAGAGGGGGCAGACAAGCAGACGGGTCACCTGATGGAAAGTGAACATCGCCGCCCATGAACGTCTGCAACTTAGGGAGTCACAAACGCGTTGCCGGCCTTTTAGGAAGGAGTACGCTCTTTTCTGTAAGGTTTGAAGGTCGTATCGGTCGAGAAATACCGCAGACGATAACCCGTTCTACAGATTGGTATATTTATTGATATGCAATCATAACATTTATTTACACTTTTTTTTATTCACACTTTATGCACAAATGTGACAAAGGCGGACTTAATGCCGTCGGCATTTTCTCCAAGTCAACCATAGGACGATGCAGAGCTAAAACATGGTAGATGCAGTAAAAAAGAATAAGATGGATCTGATAAGGTGTTTAAAAAACGCCTTATCAGAGAGTATAATTTAGTAGTTTTAGTATATTTATTTGTTGCTAAATTATACTCTATGGGAATAATATTGTTGTACAAAATGTAAGTAAAGAGTTATTAATAAACTTAGTAATATATACGAATTTCAAGGTAAATATCAGTGCACACAAGCACACACGTTAAACGAGATGATAATTTAAGTAAACAGTCTTTTATCAACGCTTCAGAGTTGTTCGTATCACTAACACGCACCTTGGCTCCATGAGAAATTTTAAGTACCTCCCGCACTGATAATAAACCAGTTTTAAATAAACGATTGCTTCTTATCAATCATTGTTTAATGTTGCAAATAGTTCGAGCTATATATAGTAATTGCAGCTGTTTATAAAAGTAGTTTTTTAAGTTAGCTAGCTAGCTTTATGAATGACTTAGTCTCGCTGACAATTGAAAAATATCCATAATTGGTTTAATTGAATTCATTTAAAAAAAAGAGTGAAAATTGCTTAACAACATTATCATCAACATCCTTTAACAGTTCACTGCTGAACATACGCCTCTGCTTAGAAAGGTTTTGGCCTACTATATCACGCTGGCCAGACGTGAACCTATTTTAAACTTATACTATTTTAGTAGACAATTTCCAATATACTATTTATCCACTCCATGAGAGATGGGGTTTGTTTCAAGTTTTCCTTCTATTTGCATAGCTGTTATCCTGCGTAGTTTTTTAGTCGGCTCTTACGCATGGCATGGGATGAATAAAGGTTGGTGAATTAATTGTAATTTTATTTAAGTTATGTAAATATTTATGTAAATTTATTAGAAGTGTCAACTAATTGTTTAGTAATTTTCATTGTCTTTGTGTTTTTAACTATGTATAATTTCAATGCATTCATTCAAACTGCCATGACTATGGTTGTTTGAATCAATACATTGAAATTCCCAATTCATTTGATAAGTTACTTTAAACGGGATATTCACCATGTTTATTTTCAGGAATTAGTTCCGAATTCTTCGTAATATTTAACATCTATAAATACTAAAGCATTTATAATTATAAATAATAATAACAGAATACCCTATTTATTTTATCTAATAATCTATACATTTATTGACATTTTACGTAATTTGTTAGATAACTGTTCAGGCCGGTCATGGATCCCTAAAACGATCTCGCCCACATTTTATTGCCATTAGCCGCTTGGCGCCGCGCCACATGAAATGTACTGCGCTATTTTTACGATCACGCGCGCTGACAAACATCTTACATAGGTATATATTATGTGATAACAATATATCATCCAAGTTGTGCACTGATATGCGATTGAAACAATGCGAAAACATTTATTAAATACCAGCTGTCCTGCGCATCTTCGTCTGCGGCTCTCTATAGGAAAAAAAATCCATTCCGCATTTTAAATCTCTGATATCTACTAAGATATTCATTTTAATGATATGCTGTAAAAGGCAATTTTGATCTACATTAAATGCACAACGAACGTGGAACGTCAAATAAAAATGGTTAATATGGGTTACCCTGAGGAGATAGACATATAACATCACGGCAGTTTTTGTAGATTTTTTAAAGATATACAATGCGTTTGCAATGTAAGCACAGAAAAAACGGGTTTTTTTTACGTATTTACATTACAGATCTCTGAAATTCTCGGATTTTCTTTACTATAATATGCATGCATCACTCTTTTTATTGGTGAAAATCGATAGTTATATTTTTTACGCTTTATTTCCCATAGGCAGTCCTGTAGTTCTGTGCATATTACATATTACGAGCATATATCTGTTACACTTACCACTTAGTTTGACACCAATAACCTTTGGGCATTTCAATTCCCAAGGAATATTAGCCATGACGTCGACAGCATCAGCACCACCAACCCCTGTACAGAAAAAACGAATGGTTAAATATATAACTGTATAGGTCCGGGTCCCCCCGAAAGGAGAGCGCCTGAGGCCGGCCGTCGAGGTGCTTTTTAGTGGAAACACCACATACTCCTGGCTCCTCCGTACCCTAGGAGCCGGAGACGCACCCCGTCAACAATAAAAAAATACATTCGTACTAGTAACATAATAAATGTGATTGTTGACTTGAGTGGTTGAGTTCATTTTCATGCAAATCCTTTCAGGAAAAAAAGAACCCGAAAAAGAATTCATTGACAAAATCTAACACGAGCTTACTCGCTAAGATAGTGTTTTATAAACCTTCCATACAAAAGTTACTTTATTCAGTATAAAAAAATGATCAGAAAATATTTTAAATTAATTCCGTCGCAATTTTTTTTTAAATATAACATGATACGAGTATGTGTATGGGTATTTTTTTATTGGCAGCATAAATTGCAATGGATGCATTTAACATCTATACAAATAAATAAAATTGGAGTGTCTGTTTGTAATATTAAAATAAGCGCTTTTTACTAAATGCATATGTATGTTTACACGGTACATATGCCAAAATAACATTTTTTACAATTTTTGTCTGTCTGTCTGTTTGTTCCGGGTAATCTCTGGAACGGCTGGACCGATTTCGACGGGACTTTCACTGGCATATAGCTGATGACATAAGGAGTAACTTAGGCTACTTTTTTAGACTAGCTTCGCTCTGCAGCGTTGCCCGCGGTTATAACAACAAACGAGGGTAACACCGCGGGTCTCAGCTAGTTATATAATATATTTAATATAATAACGAGTTGTACATTTATTTACAATTTCGGCTAATTAATAAACACCTTTGCATCTTGAGCAGATGATTTAAGCAGCAACCCTTCAATGCAAGGAAGAGACACTGGATTGGAGACTGAATTTCAGACTGGACTTACTACAGAGGTTGAATTTCATTTCAATGTCGCACTCTTAAGTGGTTTTTATTGCAATTGAGCAGAAGTATGTATAATAGTGCATAAATTGATTTGAAATGGAGCGAAATTGATACTCAACGTCGAGAATAAAATAAGACCAATCAGTACCTAAGAACATAAACTGTAGATATGATAAACTTCAAGCATAAATGTAATCATATTGGTACATCAACATTATGACCTAAGTTACATGATATCCGAAAACAGGCTAATAAATTCTTATGTTTAGAAATTTATTATCTATACAAATAAATAAAATTGGTGTGGTGTCTGTTTTGATGTAAAAATAATAGGTTTTTTCATGCTCACACGGTTATTTGCACTATACCTAAAAACAACTTTAAATATTTTTGTCTGTCTGTCTGTTTGTTCTGGGTAATCGTTAAAACGGCTGGACAAAGTTTGATAATATTTTACTACCAGGTAGCTGTCTATCTAAATAAGTTTCGTCCTGCAGTTTCATAGCAACAAAAACTTTATATACTTATCTATGGATTCAGTAGACAATAATTTAACTATGCACTTACCGATGCAGAGACCACCGAGACCGCCACCGTTGGGAGTGTGGGAGTCGGTACCGATCATAAGCAGACCAGGAAAGGCGTAGTTTTCCAAAATAATTTGATGGATGATACCAGAGCCTGGTTTCCAGAAACCGACGCCATATTTGGCGCCTGCTGTTTCCAAGAACTTGTATACTTCTTTGTTCAGGTCCTAAAAAATAATTAATGAGATTTGATTGTTGAATGACAGTAAACTGATGGTGAGATCTTCCCATTGTCTATAAAGTTTTAACACCAAAAGTATACATATAAGTAACTCTAGCAACTCTATTCTCTTATACTCTGGGGTTGTCTAATCTTCTTCCAACAATGTACAAGTTAGTTATATGCATGTTAGTTTTTTCCCAGTTATTGATGTCATCAATAATGTAAGAACCCTTTTCCCTCCTTCCATGTCTTAACACATCTTGCAGTTTTTCTAAGGAGCCTAGACAGCTTTTCTTTATACACAATATTTTAAAATATTAATATTGGTAGCATCTAAGAATCTTACCTTAGCTCTGGCCAAGTCCTTTTCACCGCCAACCTGCGCTTCAATCAAGTGATCACAGTGGATGGTAGAGGGCACAGCAACACGGGGAAGTCCTGAGGAGATAAACTGCAACATGGCCATCTGGGCAGTAGCATCCTGCATAGCTACTCTGTCAGGGCGCAGCCGAAGATAGCTGGTGCCGCGTTCAATGTCCTGTATAAAGATATTTCTCAATAAAAATATTATTATTTAACCTTGGTAAAGACACTTGTAGATAAAACTTTCAAACATAAATATAATTCAAAACTATGTATGAATACAAACAAAGTTATAACCACTATGTCCCCTTTTTTTTTTGTGCGGAAATCCCCTGGGATACCACCTATCGGTTTCATGTCGGACTCGAGCCCACTAAAATCGCACGCCGTCTCGGGCACTAATAGCCGGGGAACCATAGGTACACCTATATATATTGTAAAAATAGTTGGTTTTTATTGACATTTTTTTTATTTACTCTGAAGTATGCAAGTAACATACTTTTCTGATTGGATTTATTTTAAATACCTTTTTTAATTAAACCTTTTAATTTTATTTTTAATAGTATATTATGAATTAGTATTTCACTGCAATTTAGAGAAATTTGGAAGCTGCATCTCACCAAAGCTTCTTTCTAAATTATGCCTTAAATTTCATAACAAAGTAAGGAAGTAAATAAAATAGTAATATTTAAGACAGTTATGAGAATACATTTATTTTATAAAAAAACAAATGCCCAAGTTTCATCACGATCAACATTACATGACATAAAATAAGAATTGGGCTGTCAATAGCAAAAAAAAACAACAAAAATAATTCAATTTCTTTACACATAAAATTTATATTTAATGAGATAAAGACTTGTTAGACATGTTTATTATCATAAATATGTCTAACAAGTCAACAAAGCCATTTAATGAAAAGAATAAAAGTTATATTCTACTCTATGCAGGGCTATGATATCATTTTGATTAAAATGGGAGTTCAATTGATATAGCATTGTTTATTTACTAAATAACACTCAAGAAACAGCTTCATTATTAATTATGAGACAAGTATTTTCTGACAAAGGTTATAGCAGTTATAGGATTTTTTTGAAAAATATTAACACTAAAAACACCAATAATATAAGAAAAATATAAGAGTTATATAATGTCTTACCTGTTCTTTAGGATTATCCAAGTGAGAGTACAGGACTTTTTCGGACAAGGTCATTTCACGACCTAACCTATCCTTTACTATCTTTAAATTCTCAGTCAACTTAGCGTATGGAAGTGGTTCCTTGTCGAATTTCGACATAGCGACCTAAAACACATCGTACAACACTTATTAATTGCAATTTAAGGTCTTAACACATGGTTTTACACTTGCAATGATTACATAACAACTGCTTATTCTCACTGAAAACTTGGTAAAAAGTACGTTTAATCGATGTTAGCGTACCTGGGCCGCTGCTGCGGCAAGCGGGGACCGGCTGAAGCATCTTTCCTGTATCTCCAGGAGTACCGCCTTTGTCCTGCTACCCTGAAAAAAAAAATTGGGATGTGAAAAAGTATCTACAAATTTAAGGTGTACATAAGGTCACATCTGTATCATTTCGATAGTAAATAATTTTTAACCTGGTTATACGTTGATAGTAACCTCAATTGACCTGATATAGTTTACTTAACATGACGTGACCTTTTCATTCATGATCATTAATCGCACAAAAATATATCTTTAACAATGATGATAGGACAGTAAACAAACAATTTCTTTATCTAGCTTTATGTAATTTAAGGTATTAATTAATTCTTGTGAGATACGGAGCCTGTTAGCAAACGTGAGATTTAAATAAACTTACCTGGCCATGTAAAACTCTCATACAGTGAGCCATGGTTGCTGGACGTCACAGAATCGATTATTAAAATTTAAGATTTACAAAAAAATTTAAATTATGGACACATGAATTTGAATTTTAAAAGATTCCTAATTTATCATCCGAATAAGAAAAAAAAGAGCAGCTTGCGACCACTGCCCTAGCAGAATTGACAATTTGTTATGAGTTTGGCAAGTTCTATGTTCAAGAATCTTCGTTGACAAGTCTTTGACAGTCACTAATATAAATGTCATTTCATGCAATGATTCAGAATCATTGTTTTTACTCTCAGACCCTTTTATGCTCTTTTATGTGAAGCAGGAAATTAAATGGCAATATAGATTATAGAAATTGATTTTCGGACCTGTTTTAAATTTTGTAACGCCATGCAAAAAAAAAAACGAAAAAGTAAAGTAACGTTTCAATATTCCCAGCTCAAAACAGAACCAATTTCATCAGTTGTTTTTATAATTTGCGTCATTATAGCGTAGCCGTTTTTGACGTGACAACGTCTTATAATTCGATGGAGCCGGCTGCACGCACGAAAAAACATGACTCATGCGGCGTTACCTCGCTCTGAGGCGTTCCATTTAAGGCTTGAAGTGCAAGCGAGAGCGCGGAACGAGCGACAAAGAGGCACAATCAGCCTCCGCCTTCGGCAGCGTTTGACTTCTGTCTCTCTCCTACTTGAGTGAGCGATGCGTCCGCGTGGACAGCTGCTATCCAATAATACATTTACATGTTTTCGTAAAATGCAACCATTCCATCAGTATTTTCTTATGACGTTGTCACGTTCAACTATCGTCAGTAAATCGACTTTACAGACAACCGATTTTTTTCTGACTATTGTCTTGTCGAGTTGTCTTCTTTTGAAGAATGATTATCTTAATATTATGCCCAATATTTAATAACCAGTTATTTATGAACCTAATGAAATAAATGGGAGACCCAAGGTAGGGAGACAGTATAAAATTAAAGTGCTGTTAGATGTGTTACACGGCCTGTATGCGGCGTCCTCAATTAAACTCGTTACGTTATTGTAACTCCACGTCTAATGAAAATGTATAATTTTTAGGTTTCGTGTGTATGATTGAATCTGTATTTATTTAGAATTGTTTTCAAAAAAGTTTTTTGCGGCGTGTGCACGTGACTTTATGTTTAGCAAAATAATAACAATCAGTTTGCTATGTAGACAAAAGAAAAAATCTTAAGTATTAAAAGTTACCTACCTACCTAATTTACGAAAACTTCGTAGAATTATTTATTTACTAGCTGGTCCCCGCGAATTCGTTCAGGTTAAATTTGAAAAGCGCTCCCCTTACTAGTGTGGTACGGTAAGCGACTGCGGTCCCTGAGCCCTCGCGTTAGATTCCTGGACCGGGAAAAGTTTTATATGGTTTTTCTGAGAGGACAATAGCCTAAGTTACTCCATTTATTAAACTTAAAAAATTAAAATTTAATGGTTTAAATAACTGGTGGTAAAAATTATCAAAATCAGTCCAGCTGTTTTGAAGATTACCCGGATTAAACAGACAGACAGACAAAAAAATATTTAATATTGTGCAAAAAACCATGTAAGCACGAAAAATCGCATAATTTTGACTTTACGAACAGCAAGTTTATTTATTTGTATAGATTAGTTTTATTCTGTCACAAAACATTTCATGACTTAAAAAAAAAACACTTTTTGATGTTTGTTTCACTATTATGATAAATTTTAAAATAATTGTATAGGCAAGATACCTATACAATTATTTCTTTAGCAATAAAGTTTACGAATAAAATATTTTGTCCATTTTGGAGTCACGCTCATTTTCCCATAGGGGAAAGTTGAAAAAGTGTCTAGCAATATACTGTAAATAGAAGATATGAACTTAATTATTGTAGACAGAGTGCTGAGTTAAAATTTTAGAAAACTTGTATTGTCTGAAAGTTATTACACGTTTATTTATTGTCTGTAAAACTCATTGCCTATAATCGCAGTCTCTAACTAACATTTACGTAGCCGTACCTTCAGCACCCTCAAATTAACGCATTTTGACGGACACTCTCATAAACAGAGATGCTTTTAATGTTCTCCTTGGCTCTACCCTCCACAGCTCTCTCGAGTTATAATCATAGAGGTAATATAATAGAGGGAGCGAACTGTATCATCATCATCATCAGTCTTTCGCAGTCCACTGCTTGACATATACCTAGGCCTTCTCGCATCCAGCCCCTGCACCTGGCCTGTAGGCCTCCTACACTACGTTTGCCGAGACGAACTGTATATTTAATTAGTAAGTTAGAAGGAGAAAGAATATTGTTTTGGTCTTGCATCTCTCTCCTCTCTGCACTTATTGGTTGATACTAAGGAGGGCATTTAAAATAGCCAATCAGGAACATGAGCAGAAAGAGGTGCAAGAACAAAACAATTTTCGTTCTCTCTCTATCAATCGTATGTGGAGTGCCTTGTTCGCTTCCTCTATATGCTTATATCTTTATTTGCTTTTTGGTTAAAAAAGCTCTATGGCAGTCGCAGATGTCAGTGTCAACAAGTAACAATTGTCTATTGTATTGTCACTACTGTCAGTCGAACGAAACTATTTTCGTGTTGATCACAGATTAAGAGATATGTACATAGTAGTGTTTATCTTTTTGTAAAATTGGATGAAACGATTGAAATAGGTTTAAAATAAAATAGTTGGAAATGCAGATGAATTGATTTTCTACATTTAAGTATATTTAGCAATCAGACTACAAAAGGGAATATTATTATGACGAACGCGACGATACAGGTATACACCCACTTTCAATTTTTTTTAGTAGTTTTTGAAAATTTCTAATATATTTGCCGTGATTCAATATTTTTATTTCATTCATGACTAAAGATAAAATAGAGGTCCTTTTCCAGACTATGTACTAATGAATATAAAATTTGTTTCCGCCTTAATCAGGAAATTGAGGGTATTGATGACTATTGGGGCCCGGCATTCCGGTCGATATACGAAGGGGAAGGCCATGAAGCCTTTGTGCAGCAGTTGGACGAGCGCATTAAACAGCATGATAAAGAAATTGAGAAATTGTGCAACTTTCACTATCAGGTAAACAATTCATATAGTTTTTATCGGCTCGCAAACAATTGTTGACACTGTTTGCATTATACAAAACATACATAAATAACTTAGTTTAACTCTATAGTTCCATCATTTGAGCTCTTGTCAAACTAACAATCTTTAGACTGCATTTATGCATCTTCTTACTCTCTTATCTACATGTTCTCTCCTTAGCTGCAATATTTAAAGATAAAACGTTTGTTTTTTTTTATAATAAACATAAATAGTAGTAGCATGGGGTCATAATAATATGGAGTTATTTTAATATATACTTGGAGCTTCTTACAGCTCCGCAGTGCCCCAATAATATTGTGTGTTCAGTTCAAAATTTAAATATTTTTGATGTAGGTATGAATGCTTTTTGTTCTTGATTTTAAATATGATAAATTAATATTTATTATAACAGGGTTTCATAGACTCCATTCGTGAATTGCTTCAAGTTCGGTCACATGCTGAGGAGTTGCATGCAGATATTTCCAATGTCGAAGCAAATGTTAAAGAGACTACTGAAAGTAAGTAATTTGTATTTCAGAGTTTGTTCTTAAGATATTTTTTTTAAACCGTCTCTTATGTCTTAGATTAGTGATTGGTACTACTAAAACTGTGTAATGTTTCATGAGGATATGTACGATAAAGATGTACCGTGCAGACATAGTTATTAAAAAAAATACATCTATGTCTACCCCATTGAAGATGAGTACATGAAAAAGAAAATTTACATGCATTTTATATTTCGCAACACATTAAACCTTCTACATGCTAAACATTAAAATAATCTCGAAAGATCTGAAATAAATTATGATGACTATATAGATATATCACAGATTTGTAGGAATGGTATCATGGCAAATATGTATTGAGAATCTATTATATGCCTGTGCCGATATACAACCGCATGTTTCCAAGAGGTGGGGCCTTATATACTTTTTTTTTGTAAATACATACATATCATACATAGTAAACGGTGTTTTAGATGTGTGTAAAAACTGAATAAACTTGGGTAACAGACTCAAGTTTATTTAATTTTAACACACATATTATAACTTCACACACGGCTGTCTGATACTAAACTAGACAAAGCCTGTACTATGGTAAACAGACTGCTGATGAACATAATAATAATAAAGCCTTTATTTCCGAAATAATTTCATGTTACATATTTTCGTGTCTTAGTAAAAATATTAAAATAAAAGTATATAAAAAGAGTTTATAAAAGAAAGTAAAACTTATAAACTAAAACTACACTTTCATTATAAGATGTTGCTTGGTTCGGTTTGCCTTACGGCAAAGGCTTCCTCCAAGTCTCTCCATTGCATTCTGCCTGCCGCTACTCTCATCCAAAGTGGTCCTAAGGTAATTTTTAGGTCATCCTCCCATCTTGTTGCTTTACGACCTCGGCTCCTAGTGCCATCCCTTGGGTACCAGACTGTCACCTGTTTGCTCCACTTTTCCTTCTTGCAGCGGAGCATATGTCCAGTCAATCTCCATTTGAGTTGATTAATATGTGATAGTATGTCAGTTAGTTTTGTTTGGCGCCTGATGTCTTTGCTTGTAACTTTGTCTATTGAACATACTTATATATTTTTAAATACATACAAATTATAGATAAATCACACCCAGATACACAACAAATGATCATGCTCATCACACATTATTTGTTCTGGAAGATAATCAAACCTCTGGCTTAGCAGATAGTAACCACTAGATCAATAGGCTTGTCAAATATAAGTGCTTTCCTAGATTTTGTATAAAATCTAAAATGATTACTTAAATTATTAACTATTATACATTACTTAAGTTGTTCATGTTCTTATTCCCTTAAGATTTATATGTGAAAGCTGAAGAACTGCTCCGAGCGCGTAGGGTGGAGCTTAACATTGCTGCAACTATTGAGAAAATGGAATTGTGTCTCCCTCTGCTCACAACATACTCTAAGCTTAAGTCACAAGTAGAAGCTAAAAGGTAATTAGTAATTTCTTATAGTAATTAAAGGAAATTTTGCAGTACAACAATTTCTTTTTCAATAATGATGAATTCAAGTGTTCTATATCATGCATTCTAAGAAGTTTTTTATATCAATAATTATTTTGCACTGAACTATTTTATAATTTTTAATTATGACATATTTATATTGGCACTTTTGGAGGATACCATGCACTTAGGAGTATCTTTTATTCCAGGCTCTATGTACTATAGTAAAAATAACAAATAACTCTTTGCCGATTGGGGTAAAAAGAAAAATATCATATTAAAAAAATTAAGCCCTCAAAAGGTAAAATATATTCTTTTATATTTATTCTCGTTCCAGATATTACCCTGCTCTAAAAACTTTAGAGCAATTGGAACATGTGTTACTTCCAAGGGTGGGGCCATACAAATGGTGCGGTCAAATTTCCGCTGACATTCCTCGGTTGCGACAAGCGATACAAGACGCTTCAATGGCGGATCTCAGGGATTTTCTTGAGAATATACGAAAACTTAGTCCACAGGTACCTTGAGTTAATATTATAGCTTAAGGTTACATTGTTAAACATATATTTTTTGGCCAAACAAACGATAGTGTTGTATGGGAGATAATGTTAATTTTTTTATCTCTTCAGGTGGGTGCAATGGCTTTGAAACAAACACAAGAAATGTTAGGAAGGAACCTCGCCAGTATCGTTAAAAACAAAAAAGGTACATCATACATGCATTTTACAAAGCATATTTTGATTTGATGTAAATGTTTTTTGATGTTTGTACTTAAGTAGATATGTATTTATATGTATGTACATTTGTTGGTATGTATAAATATGTTTCATGTGTATATACTATATTCATTAATAATTAACTTATTGCACCTTCAATGTAACTTTTTTGATCAATCCATGGGTTGCCTGGTAGAGATTACTCTTAGCAATAAGGCCGGCCCTTTTTACATTATTTGTCCGTTTTTTTTAGGTAATAAGCATACTACTTGTATAACGGTATACAAATAAAGAGTTTTTATTTCTCTATCTAATATTATTGCAATGATAGGTTTTTTTTTTATTTATACTATTTAAAGTGATGAAACTGGAAAGATTAAAAGATTAAAGAGTGTTTACCATTTTTTGTGCAGATATGGCAGCCCTTGGTGTTTCAGTAAAAGAAAACACAGGTCCACAGTGTCCCCATGAACTGGTAGACTTCAGTCCACTGCACAGATGTCTTCATATCCACAGCGTGTTGGGCGCTAAAAACGATTTTATACAGTATTACAGGTAAGCAATTAAATGTTTCCTTGAATGCCTTTACGTCAATTCGTTTTTCGTTCAATAACCTTTGCATATTGATGGACGAGGATTAAGGACCTGCCCACCACGTTAAACCGCGTCTATTTAAAATCCTCATTTACTCATAACATGTTAAAGGGATCAGAACATAACCTGAAATCATAAAATTCCCCTCACTCCTGGGCTATAGTTTTTCTAATCCAGAAGTGGTCAACACTCCTAGGTAGCACATTAGCCGTGAGTAAGAATGCCTCCTACATAAAGGAGAAAAGGAAAGCTGCTTTAGTAATCAACGCTAAAACTTTTTTAGTAAACATCAACGAAAATGTTTTTGAAATTCGTTTGAAAGTCATTAAAATCGAATTATAATTATGTTTTTGTTTGTCAGAGCACAACGCAAACAGCAAGCACGCCTTGTTTTAATCCCAGAATCAGCCAACCTCCACGACTCCATCCCAGGTATCAGGAACTACTTAAATGCGGTGCTGGGCTTCTTCATACTAGAAGAACACTTGCTAAGCGCCGGCGCAGGTCTCGTGTCGAAAGATTGGCTGCTGGACATGTGGAGCATGTCTGTCACCAAAGTGGCTTCGACGCTCAGAACTAATACGTCTCTCATCACCGACCCTACTTTGATGTTGAGCATTAAACACCAAATAGTTCTCTTTATTAATACAATCAAGTGAGTATAGTCATTTTATTATCTTAATTAGCTGACCCGCGCAACTTCGTCTGCGTCTCTCAACAGTAATAAATTTTCTCCGTTTTTGAAACATTCTTCATTGGTGCTCCGCTCCTATTGGTCTTAGCGTGATGATATATAGCCTATAGCCTTCCTCGATAAATGGGTTGTCTAACACTGAATTTTTCAAATCGGACCAGTAGTTCCTGAGATTAGCGCGTTCAAACAAACAAACAAACTCTTCAGCTTTATAATATTAGTATCTATAGATTTAGACTAAATTTACACTAAAATAATGTAGGTGTGTAATCTTACTCATATTACGTGAAAAGAATGAACGGATGGGTTCGATCCTCACATGATACAACACTTTGCGTGATATACAAATTGTTGTTCTGAATCTGGGTGTGCTTTGTGTCCGT